ATTTTATTTTTTAATATTTTGTAAGAAAAAAAAAAAACCGCTTGTTAACGGGTAATATATTTGTTAATTATAAACATACTATAAGTTAAATTCGTAAGAGTGGGATATACATCTTTCACTTTAATAGAAGAATATATTAGCAATTTCTCGCTTCAGTAAGTTCTTTGCCTCTCTATATTACATGTATGGTTTAGGCGCTTCAATATATTTAAACCAAGCTTTCTAAGGCTAGGTTAAATATTAGTGAAAACCTTTCATAAAGTTCTATTCCAAAGTTCGATTAGAGTAAAAACTTTTAATATAAACTGCCTGTAATTTAATGGCACCTATAAGGTTGCTTGGACTTAAATTGCTCGAGAGTTAAAAAAAAGGAATTCTAATTATAATATACGCGCTTTAGAAAACGCCCTGAAGTAGGCCGCCCAACTGCAACCTTAGTTTTTTTTAATTTAGATAAAACCGCTTTGGTAAAGCTGCCAGTTATCCCATTCTCTATTTAATAAATGTTGAGAAGGGAGCCTAATAATTTTTATATTTAAAAGCTTATAGCTTAAAAAAATTGCGTTATAACGGCCAATGGTGGAAGAACAAGCTTACTGGAAAAATTTAAATAAAGTTTTGCCTAAAGCCACAAGTAGTGAAGTTATTTTATATAAATACTATTAAAAATAAATATTACGAGGTATATAACTCCCTTGGAGGCTATACCGTTTTTTAAAGTTTTATGAACTGTCACAATAAAGTTAATAAGCTCACTTGTTACTTAGCAAACTAACACTACCAACCACAGTAGCAATAACAAATATAAATTAAAAAAATGTGAATAGGGTCATTATAAGTAAATTTTTGAAATAATTAAGTCTTATCAAAGTCAGTATTTTTCGTATCGAAAGAAATATTATTATAGGAAGGTAGGTGTTAACATTAATCTCAGACCGTCATTATTAGGCGGATCGATCGTTAGAATTAATCTTTAAAAATGGAAATCTGCATATGGTTTTGGCATTGTTATGATGAAGCCTGTCTCTTATATTTTTCATCTTAAAAGTATTATTTTGTAAAGACAGATAAAAGTAAGTTTGACTTAAACCATTATTATCTAAGTAAAAGCAGTATTAAGCAAAGAAAATGCAAACCTAACTTTTAGGGTATTATTTGTGAAAAAAAATTATTGATTATTATAAAAAAAATGCACATCGAGAACAAGCTTTTGATAATAAAAAATATTAGTGCAATTTGTCAAAATAACCAAAAGTACAATTATATATAAATTATTAAATAATAAATTCTTTGGAAGAAACTATAGACTGTTTCTTGGGTATGCAGGGCCGTATAATGAACATTTAAAGTTACAGTATCCTTATTTAGGAATGTTTAGAAAAATAAGGAATTCTAATGTTGTTATATATAATTAAACAGTCATATCTGATTTTAAGGAAAGTGCCTTCTTCGACTTTTGTTTTCATGCCAGCCCAGCGTAATTTATTTGGTATTAACTTGAAGATACAACCTCATTATTTAGAAGTATTGGCTAGAAAAGATTTAGAAATACTAAAAGAAAAAAGGTGTCGCTGGAATTTTGACTTTATTGAAGGACTACCTGTTCTTTCTAAGAAAAATGTTTTTTTCTGGGAAGAATACTTCGATTCACCACAAGAGAAGATCCACAGAAATAGCAGCAGTTGAGCAGCTACTATAGCTTTAGTTGTTCAAAGACCAGTTTCAAACTGTAAAAAGGTAATTTTTTAAAGAAAATGTTTAAAAAAACATTTTTATACGTAGATACCTTTGTAGTCAAAATTGCGGACTACTGTTGAAACCTTAAAGCTCTGTATAATTTGCTGAGGTAAGTTTCCTCGATATTAGTTCAATTCTAAATTAAACAATTTAAATAATCTTGACACATCTTATATAACACAAAAAATTAAATGAAAACTGACTGACTCAGTTTGTTTCTCAAGTTAACGAAAAGGTAAAGGTAATTGAAAAATCCCTGAACCTCAATTTATAAGATGGTATAAAAAAAAACCTTAAGGTACCGCCATGCTATTACTTCGCGTAATGTAACACGATAACACAGTATACACAACACCTAAGATATAATTTAGAACACAAAATACAAAAAAAAAGTATAAGAAAAACACATAAGACAGACATAAGACAAACAGAAAAACAAAAATAAACGTACATTACAAAAACATATTGTATATTACATTAAGTATAAAGTACAAAGCCATAAAACACATATACAAATTACGAACATAAACTTAAAACACTAACCCTCTAAATTTTTCACAGGGAAAATGATCCGTGATTAATCCGATGAGAAACCTGAGAAACATTTAAATAAAAACACAAGAAAAGTGAAATTAATAACTTTGACTTATAAAGATAATAAAAATTACATCAAAGTAAGTCTAAAGCAAAACTCAAATAGTTAGCCTCATAACGTATAAGTTACAGACTTCTGTAAAAAAAGCAAGATGGTGTAACTTAAAAATGCTGCAGAATATTTAGTGAGCATTAAGATTTTAATGAATTTTTGAAATTACTGCGAAACGCTATGATGATTTTTGCTTAACAATTTTTCAGGCGAGGATAACGAAGTTGATCTGGATAAAAATTTAAAATAGATACTCTTTGATTTTTTTTTTGTAAAAAAAGTAGTTTCTAATTAATAAATTATTTTTAACTTCCCATAGCCCTAATTACCAGAAGAGAGCCTCAGAGAAGCTTAGAAAAGGTAGCAAAGTTGTTAATGCTCATTTATTCCTAATGTTTCGCGTTTAATAAGTATTTTATTGTTTTTAAGTCTTTATGTGCCTTATACTTTCAGAACCCTTTTTTTTTTGAGTGAAGACCTTTTAAACCACATTTCACCTATTTTTTAGTTTTTCATAGTACCCTTTAACTTGGCAAAAGAGTTTACTTAAATAAATGCTTCTTTAAATATTTCTCTTAGCTCGGCTCTATTTATTTTATAAATATTTCCTACCCACAATGTTGAAAAAAAAATTTTATTAAAAACTAAGGCTATATTAGTATTTCAGTCGTTGCCTTGATTGATGATCTTTTTCTGAAAGTATAAAAGTTTTCTTCCCAGGAAAACACATTTGTTTTAGAAACAAAAAATTATATTTTGGCATATCAAAATTCCAGCGGACATTTTTTCCTTTTTGCCATTTGCAATTCTTTCTTGGCCAGATCTTCTAATAGCTGCGGTGGGTCTCTAAGTTAATACCAAATAAATTATGCTGCTCTTGCATAAAAACAAGCAATCTTCTTAAAAGAGGTTGTAAGTTTATCTATATATTGCTATTTTGTAAATATTTTGTCGTAATTCCTTAAAAAAGGAAACTATCGACAGTTATCCACTTTATTATCGCTCTCATTAATATAGTAAACAAGCCTATTATTTTAACCTGTTTATAATATTATTTGTAAACATTAGTACTAGTTTAATTTAGTCATAAAATTTTCGATGAAGCTGGATTTAATTGAGATGATGTTAAATCTGTTTAATTTAAACTGACACCATTTAAGGTTGTGAGAGAACATGCTTTATTTATTTTATATAATTTTAAAGACCTATAACAATTACAAAGTATTAGCGGTGCTAGAAATACAGAGGTATATAAAAGCAACTTTTCTTTAGCACCGTCTATCACTTTCCTGTAGCTAAACACAATATATATATATATATGAAAGCTGCCTGATATTTATAACAAATAAACCAAAACGGAATATACCATAATTAAGTATTTGTTGTTATTATATACTACTGTTATCTAGTATTAATCTTAACTTAAATTCCCGTCTTATTGGAAAATATGAAAGTTGTCGTTAAATTAGCGCCATAAAGTCAGAGATATGTGCAATAAAATCTTGTAGATAAAGACTTCTTTTAATGTTATCAAAAACAGTTTTATATTAATTTTCCGAAATGATGCGACTTGAAAAGATTTTTTAGCAGTTGGTAGGCCTTACATGCACCAGTACTGGTCTATTCTGCGTGCTGACAAGTGGAGCATCTCAAAAAAATATATAAGGTATATATAAAATATTCGTGCTTATAAACTGACAAACATAAAAGGGTTGTATAGCTTTAATGTGAACTATGCCTAAAAAAATGTTTAAGCAGTCTTAAGTGATTGGAGCACTTATGTTTTAAAAAAAAACTAAGAACTGGTAATTAGTACAAAAAAAATGGTTTTGCATTCTACCTCTGTTAACGTTAATTTTCAGCTAAAGTTTAGTGAGGGCTAACTTTAAGTAATATAAGGTTACTACTTTTAATTATAGGAGGAGCATTATAATTTTTTTTTTTGATTTATTTATGCTAACTCATTGCTGTACGTTGGTTGCCCTCTAGGAGAGAACTGTAAAGCTTAGGTTTTTCATTTGGCTTTTAATGTAGTGATAGTCTCTAGCTTTTAAAATATTAACCTTCTCTCGGCTACCTCCAATATAGCTGCAATAAAGCCAAATTAATATAATAATCAAGACATATAGAGGCTATTGTTAATAGTGATTTTTTGGTTAACATCGATCATCGACGGTAGTGGTTTCTAAATACATGTAGATAGCAACCTCTAATAAGGAATTTGTTAATAAAGTGAACTCATTGGTTAATTTAAAAAAATTTTTGTTAAAAGATTTACCTTTTTTGTAATATAGCTCTCCGAATAGAGATCTTATTAAATCATGCATTTTCAATTGGAGTTATAATATCTACTAATTAAATGTTAAGGCAATTTTTTAGTTGTAAACTATATTGACTTCCAAACTCTTGGAAAAAATATTACTGTATAATTGATTACAACCTAACTGAGAGTTTGGAAAGTGAAATGCTTTCAATTATTTACTGGCTTTTTTATTTATTCAGTAAACTATTTCATCCTACAAACAATCTAAGTCTGAAAGTAAAATTATTTAAAAATTGACTTTTGAATTGAATTTTCTATCGTTTAAGGTTAGTAATAATTTAATTCAAAAACCAGGTTCCTCACGGGATCTGCGACCAGGTTAACTCTGAAGCTGGTTATTACCCTGTAGGAGAAAATAAAGAGTATTTTTACTGGTTCTTCGAAAGTCGAGCAGATCCTTTAAATGATCCTGGTAAGAGTATTCACTTTTTGCTAAAGCTAAAATCAATATATAAGTAATAATACGGGCACCGGAACTAGTTGTTCTTTGGTTAAATGGAGGACCCGGGTGTAGCTCAGAAATTGGTTTATTTTATGAAAATGGACCATGCCGTTTGAAATCAAATAATAAAAGTACTAAAGTTAATCCTTTTTCTTGGAATAATAAGGCATCTATCATTTATGTGGATCAACCTACAGGAGCCGGTTTTTCGATAGGTTTACACCCCTTGTATAAAAGACAAATTTTAAATATTAATAAAAAAGCCAATGGTTCTACATTTATTATAAAATATATTATAAGTTACATAATTTACTACTTCATATTTAATTTAATAAGGGAGAATCGATGAAAGCAATGAGTTGGATGTCAAAAATTACATGTTATCATTTTTAAAGGACTTTTTTGAAAAGAAGTCCCATCTTATTAAAAATGATTTTTTCCTTGCTGGTGAAAGTTACGCCGGGCACTACCTCCCAAACATCGCAAGAGCTATTCTTGATTCAAATTCGGTGCAAAATACAAAGATAAATTTAAAAGGTACTCCTTAACCTGTTTTTATTTTCATAGTTCATAAACTTTAAAATTTACAGGAATTGCTATCGGGAACGGACTGACTGATCCTTTAGTTCAATATAAAAGTTACTGTGAGTATTCACTTAACAATGGCTATCGGTATATATATATCACCATGAATTTTTAAAATTCCTCGAAACAAAATTTATTTATTAAAAATCTAAAAATTGGAGACCTCTTATTACAAGGGAAGAGTATTATGAAGTTATGAACTCCACGTGGCCTAACTGCATCTTTGAGCAGCAGAAATGTGTCATGAGTCACTATAAAGATAACCTTCAATGTAACTAACTTTTTGAAATTTTTAGGATAATAAATAAAAATTATATAATATTAAAAATCTTTATTTACGGAATAAATAATTTTCAAAAATAAGGTGTTCGCTCTCTGCGTAGTTGTGAGTTATTGTTTGTAGAATGCTCTCCAGTTCGAATCCAAGAAGGTTTTCAACTGTATAAAATTGACTAAAAAAATTATAGTTATATAAGCATATATATTCTCATAATACGTTTTCGATATTTCCTTCCTATATATTAATTATATTCAAATTTATAACAAGTTTAAAAGCTTTACATTTTAAAACTCATTGCAAAATTTTTTAGTAGTTTTTTTTTTAAAGGTATAACTATATTCTTTTCTTCTCAAGAATAATTTTTAGGTGGCTTTGTTAATTTATTTATTTATATGAAAATTAATAATTAAAAATAGTTTATTACTGTATCGATTAATTTTTTTTTTAGCATCTTTTCTTTGTCAATAATAGAAACAGGTACTGTAAATCTTTAAAAGTGCCAAAAGTATTGATGAATAAAACTCTTTATAAAGCTAATTTCTATACTTTTAAATAAAAACAACTGTAAATGTGAAATACTAGGTTTGAACGTGTACAACATTAAAGAGAAATGCTATCAGCCTCCCTTATGCTACGATTTTTCTGGCGTTGAAAATTTTCTCGGCTCGCCTCTAATAAGAGAAGCTTTGGGGGTAGGCAACGCCTCGTGGGAAAGCTGCAACAACCACGTGAGCTATAACTTTAGGGGTGACTTCATGCGAAACTACGCAGGCGTGGTCGAGGTAAATCTTCTCTCTGCTGTTTAGAATCTTCAGTTTGAGGATTAAATTCCTCTTTTTAATTAAATTAATATTTGGAAGATACTATTTTTGTACAGATTCTTTTTACTAACATTAAAATATTATATCATAACTATGTATTGTTGATATAAGTTAACGAAACTTCTTTAAATAGGTATAGATATATTTTTTACTATCTTTATAATATTATTCTGTACTTGGGTCAAAATTAGTATTATTCCGTACCTGACTAGTCAAAACAGTTTTGGTGCTCGTGGGATTTAGAAAAGTACACCACAATAAATTTGACTCAAATACCTTCAAAATTTTAGTTCGAAATAATGCTAAATCGATATGCTCTAGCATAATTTTTTTTTGAGCTTAGCTATTACTATTTAAATATGTTGCTTTTAAATAATGTCCCACAATTTTCGCCTAGCAGACCCGTATAATTATGTAGTAAATAATTTTTTGTTAGAAATATACAACTTTCTGGGCTTATTAAAAACCGCTTGGTTTTTTTTTAATAAATTAAATTTCAAGAGCTTGCTTGAAGAGAACATTAGAGTGCTGATCTATGCGGGAGATTTGGATTACATTTGTAACTGGATAGGTAATAAGAGGAATATTAACTTTTATTAATAAGTAAAAAATATTTAAACTAAAAAAAATTATATATAGGAGGAACCAGGAAAGCATTAAATTTAGTACAATTAGAAAATATAAAAAATTAAAAAAAAATAATGTTACATAATTATTATATTAAAAAATTATAAATTTATAACTTTACTAAAATATTTTTTTTGTTATCTTTTTTTTTATAGGAAATAAAGAATGGACAGAAAAACTTATGTGGCGTTACGCAATGCGCTATAGGATTTCTCCTTTGGAGCCTTGGAGTGGCGATGGAGGGGCCATTAAGGGAGAAATAAAAAGAGCAGAAAATTTAATTTTTTTAAGAATTTATGAAGCTGGTCACATGGTCTCTTTGCAAAGACTAAGATTATCGCTTTACTGAAATATTTATATTAAAAAATTTATGTATACTTCTGCTACGTTAAAAGTTAATTACTTTAAAGGTAGATTTATCTTAATTTTTAACAAATTATAAAAGATTACTTTGGTGACGTTAAAAAGCGCAATCATACTTCTTTGCTAGTTTAATCATTAATATATAATAATGCTTTCATATAAAATTAAATTCCTTTGAATATGAATAATCTTAAAATCAAATAATATTTTTATTGAAAATAATTATTAACTGTTCTTACACAATAGGTGCCCATGGATCAACCAGAAACCGCACTTCTTATGTTCAATCAGTTCATGGAAAATACTTTAGATTACAATTAAATCCGAGCAAAGAAAAAAGAAATAACTTTTTTTTAAAAAATAAAATCTTTCCTTATGTTGGTTATTTCGGGACCTCTCGCGTAGTATATCTTACTATATAGGCCTGCAATGCGTAACGAGATAAAAGAGATATAACCTTCATCACACAGCTGAAAGACTCCACCTCGGCTTTAACATAAAATACAAATGCCATTTATCTATTTAGTTGTCGTTTTGGCATCTACAGTCGTTATATTTGCTATAACTTAAACTAGTTAATCTAAATTCCCTCATTACGTAGAGGGTTGAGGAGGGTAGACCTCCTTTACAAATTAAAGTCTCCCGGGTCATCACTCATAGCATAGAGAGCGATTTCTTTGCGATTGATTTAAGCGTTTAACACTCACTCCCCCTCCATCCAAACCACCCATGCGGGTGGAGTAGGGATCAAGGAGGCTTAGACCCAAGGAATCTCCACTGTGGCATGTCACTCCGTAAATAAATAAAAATAGGGCCAGGCACCCTCAGAAACAGTCTAAAATTTCTTCCAAAAAACTTAATATTTAATAATTTTTATTTTTAGTTGTACTTGTCACTGTTTTTACTAATTGCACTAGTATTTTTATCATATGCTTGTCCTCGATGAGAAATTTTTGTCATTATAATCAATGCATTTTCTTTAAAAGTAATATCCCAAGTTTGAGGTATGCTTTTTCTTTCCTTAATACTGCTTTTACTTAGGTTCTACGGGTTTAAGTCAAAATTTCTTTTATTTGTCTTTAACAATAATTATAAGATGAGGATACAATGAAGATATAGGCTTCGTCATAACAATGTCAAAATTATGTGCCAATTTCTATTTTTAAAGATTAATATTAACGATCCGCCTTCAAAGACGATCTGAGATAATGTAAACACCACCCTCTTATTATTATAATAATTTTTCGATACGAAAAATACTGACTTTGCAAAGAAATTTTATTACATTAAAATATTTGCCTTGAGTAATCCTCCCAATATTTCTTTTAAAGTGTATAGTTATTGCTACTGTTGATAGCAATAGTTTGATAAAAAACAAGCTCATAAGACTTAATCGTAACTATTTATTAGGTCTCAAAAGACGATATAGGCTTCCAGAAAGTTATATACCTCGTAGTATTAACTTTTAATAAAATTTATATACAATACCTTTACTACTCCAAACTTTAGACAAAATTTTTTTAAATATTTATAATAAGCTTTTTCTTCCACCATTGGCCGTAATACCGCAGATTTTAGGTGTGAACGCACTAGTTAAATATTATGTACAGCTGAAGCCTTCACAAATATTTGGCTGAAATTATATATATATATATTCATTTCATTACCTTAGAAAAACTATCCATGTTGGGATATTTTAAATAAGCTGACGTGCAATTTTAAATTTTGTTTAAATAAACTAATACTCTGTCAGCTTTATATAAACTTGAAGACATTAATTGCTCTTCTAAACTGAACTCTAATAGCATGGGTGCCACACAATTTCCTGACTTTAAACTTTTAGGTCAGTGGCAATATTAAAAGTACTAATTTCCTAGACTAGACTGAATAACATACGTAAATGACCACCCCTATAGCTAAGGTTACTGCCACACTAAAAAAAAAAAAGCCAAAGACTATATTCATATATTCTATAAGATAATTGAGACCAAAATAAAAAAGTTCGTAAGGACCCCTTCTAACATCTTTCATTTAATTTAGCCTCCTAACATTTTAAACCTTTTTTTGGTTATTTTTTTAAAATATAAATTTTTTCTATGGTTTCACTTATATTCTTTTGGTATTCGATTATTTCCTTTGTTGGCCATTAAAAAGCATCTTAGTAATGGTCTAATTTAAGCACAAAAATTAAAGTTTTAGATGTAAAGGAAATTGTGAAGTTATAGAAATTTTTTCTTAAAATTTATATAATATTTCTGTTTACCTGATTAGGGAATAATATCTAAAATGAAGCTGCATGGCATCTGCAAAGCTCTCCAGAAAAAAATTTATAAAATTTGCCTATATCTATACACGCAACTAGAATGTAAAAGAGAGTTATTTTTAGGGCCTTCTATCGAACGTTTAGATGTGTACAAAATCTCTGTTGCTAAAAATCTTTAAACTGTACATGTAATATACTTGAACTAATAATGTTTAGATTATTTTTATCGATAAAGGTTACGATCGAGCTAACTGTTTAACCAGCAAACAAAAGAAATTAGTATATTCTTACGTCAAAAGCAATTTAAGAGAGCAGACAAGTGCCCATTAGCGCACTTCTCCAAAAAACCAAGATGAAATTGGAGGTATAATGCAAATTAATTAAGTTCAAAGGTAAAATAGAACCTTTTTCAAAGTTATTAATAAGTTTTGAAAGTATATAAATATAGTACTGTAATTTGGAAGCTAACTTCAGTCTACATTTCAGCCTTTATAGATATAATCCCCTAAAAGGTTTCTACTAAATTCATTAATCAATTGGACTGGAACCCTCTTAAGTCTTAATAACACTTCTCACTTTGTACGTGGATTGAGCAGATAAATACTCTTCCAAAAATAATGGAGATTTTACTCTTTAGATATATGGAAACCCAGGTAGCGACATAATCTTAGCTTTCGATCGCAGCCTTACCTTTCGAAAGGATTACTTATATTGTAGGTGGACTTGTAATGTACAGTAGTGTCTTTGAGTGGTGTTATTATCTTCCCTTTCAACTGTGCAGGTAGCATTATACTCCCTAACTACCAAGTAATGGTCATAGGTTAGCCTGAGTTTAGCGTTAAAGATATGTGCTGGGGCGGGATCGCCTATGCTGTTTATTGCTGATATTATAGCGTTATTGCCAGCCTCCTTAGTCATAGTGATTTTCACCAGTAGCCTAGTTGATATTTAAGACTTTCTAATTTATTTGGTCTATCGACTTAGTTTTCTTTATACAGGGCTGAAGAAAATAGTTGCCCCCGAAAAGGTGAGTTCACGTTGGTGCAATGTAGTAATTAATACTAAATAACACTACAAGCTCTAAACTTAAAGATACCATTTTTATATAGTTTAAAGCTGCTTATACTACTCTAGCTTTAGTATATTTACTTTTTGTCTTTACTTTGCAATCGCGATTTAGCTTAATTTCGTACTATATTATTAGTACTTGACTGTTAATGATCTGCTAATCCCTGGTAACTTATTGGAGAAATGGAACTAATTACTATTATATGAACAAGACCTCCTTGCTAACTTTAATTCAGTAAGAAATGAATACCTCATGCCAAAAATATGTTTACTTTAGCAAAAGTCATATTTATGATAAAATGTAATAGCATGAAGAAACAAAGCGGTTTTAGCCTTTAAGTTAAGGTATAGCGATTTTAAACCCAGTGGCATATATAGTAAGTATGAAAAAAGATTATAATCAACTCCTTTAAAGAACGTAGATTTACTTATTTTAACGTTTTCAAACAAAAGTAAAACGTCCTAAATATTAGTTTGTCCTTTCGGCCAAAAAAAAGACGCATCTTTCGTTCTGTAATTAGTTGTTAGAACAATTATTAACACTGATTATAACCGGATAAGAAAATCTTTTTAGTGTTAATGAGAATGTGCTATTTTGGCCTTATGAGCTTAGAGTAAAGGTTAGGGCGACAAATCCAATTTTGTTAAATGAATTTGCTAAATTTAATTTTTTATTATGATGTCCTTGTTAAAAGGAGTAGCTAATATTGTTTAAAATTATAAAAGTAAATAATAGAAGAGCAATAATTAATTAATAAAAGGGGGTGTAATATTTTTAATTTTAACTTTTAATTAAAGGCAAGATTTCTCATCAACCACTGTTGGGTTCGTATACATACACTTTATAAAAGCATAATTATTATTATATATGTAAAAATAAACTCTTTTTCTACAAGATTACAATCTTTAATTTTACTTTTTTCGTTCTACCTTGGTAGAACCTTTTTAATTAGCTAACATTTCTAGACTGTTAGTTAGTTATTTTGTTCTACTAAAGTAGAACTTTATTTTCAAACTTCTTAAGTAGTTAAGTGGTATAACCTTCTTTACAGTCAAGTCAATGGTTTGATTCCATTCTTAAGCCTAGCTGCTTAGTCGACAAGAACTTGACTCTCCACTGGTTTGGCAAGCTGTAGAGGCAACCTTTCTCTTTTTTCAACCAGAAGAATAATTTCTCAAAGTTAGGATCCAAGTACTGTATAATTCTAACCTTTGCTACTCCCTTGGGGGCTAATTGAGTTTGTAGCTAAGGTCTCTAAGTGAAGCCAATACTTCGTCACGAACTGAAAGTGCCTACTATACAATCTATTATATCATTTAATAGTACTAACATAGAGTTTTATGTGAATTGAATAATTACAAAAAAAAAAAATAGTTATATGTAAATTAACTAATAGTACTTTTTTATCCTACAGTGATGTAGTATTATAGATAAAATTTTTGATTATTTTGTTCTGCGTTGCAGTTCAACTGCTAAACCTCCTTATCGTAGAAGCTCGTTCAACCATTATAATTCCTTTTATACTTCTTTTAGTGCTTTTTACCCATAAACTTGTTTAAGTTTTTGATCCTTCTCTGGTTGAAGCACTCTTTGATCTTTTGAGAATAATTTTTATCCTTTTGAGGGTAATTCTGTACCTTTGGGTGGTCATTTTAACTTTTACCTAATTTTTTTAGTGCTGTTACATAGAATAATTAAGCACCTTACCTCGTATAAAGAGAACTGCATTTTTATCGTCTGTCGTTGATTAGGCAGATCCTGTGAGTGCATTTTTATCTTAAACATCTTAATATCTCACTTTTGGCGCGCGGGATGCGCGATCCTTTGCTGGGCTGTGACCGTAGCAAGTAAGACCTTTGTTGGTTCATAGTTAGACCCATTCGCAACTGCGCAGGTTGGTGACTGTAGTAGAGGCATGTTGCTGGACGCTTGGTGCTGGCTCTGACTGTTGGATCTAACCTTTTGATTCTTCGCCTAGCATTGTTCACTCTTGATTAAGGTAACGGTTGCTTTCTGCCGCCAGGTTAATCTCGTAAAGCGGTCAAGAAAGATTGACCCTTTAATAAAATTTGCGTTAAACCTCCGCGTTATTCCCTGAGCCTTCTCTCAGGTGGAATGCAACGTAAGAAATGTAACGAAATCTCTCTTAGGTCCTTTCACCTTTCACCCTCTACTTTTCAATAGGATCAACTTTGATGTTACAGTAAAATCAAACCAATAAAACTCTACAATTTGGACACGATTGACTAATTGACCATGAAACCTGAAGGAACGTGATTATGGTAACTTTGAGAGCTCAGTTGTGAGTTTACTTTGTACTGGGAGAGCCGTGGGAGGTGTTAAAATATCACTTGGTAAGCCTCGGTTGGAAAAAACCACTCTTAAAATTGGTAAAAGCCTTAGGTTTAATAAAGTCTTGCAGCAGGTTAAATCTTACCTGTAACATTGACTGACCCATACAATGATTCGCCTCAAGTCTTAAGCTCGCTGATCGGACTATGTTCCTGCTACTTTTTGACTTTAAAGCTTAAACAGAACAATAAAACATAAATCGAATCGACTATTTGCTCGTTTTGTAAGTTTCGCATTGAGTACTAGCGATGCCTTCTAAAGCGGTCCTTCGTTATTTGCCAAAGGAGAGCTGACGCAGTTAACACTTTCACTAGTAAAACCGTAAATGAAATCAGCTTAGTTATGCAGAAATCTGTTGTATAGTAGCAAATAGGTGCGACCAAAGCATTTACAAAAACACTGCATGATGAGTATTGTTTGTCTATGGCTATTATTCTGTTCCTGAGCCGTGGGCGGCTAATTCTGCTTGTAGCTATTGGTACTATTTTGGTGTCTTTGATGCATTGGACTTGACCGCCGGTGTGTAATCACATTATATTAGTGTGATTACTATATAGTCTAAGTACTAGTAGTATATATATAACCGCGACCGTCCTTATCTTTATAATGTTTTGCTCAAATAAGTTGCTTTCGTTTCTTTTTAAAAATTCAAGGAGCACTTTACTTAGTTCCAAAAAGATCGTATTACAAAAATAGTCGTAATTTTAAGTTTGATAGACTATTTTTCCCGGGGGGAAGGGGGTTTGCAGTCGCCGGGTGTTCGTATTTTCTGTTCCTTATCTAAGTTTAGGAAGTAGATATGACAAAAGAGAATATCGGTTTTATACATAGTTGAAATAAGTGAATATCTCCGTTGGAGGTTGCGTAACTTCATTAAAAAAATAATTTCAAGAGTTTTGAGAGTCAGATCTTTCATTCAAACATATAACTCCCTTTTAGACACAATCAAAGATCATTTCCTACCGACATTCCTCTTATTTTCTTTAGAAAGGGCACCAAAGGGATATGGTGTTTTGTCTGTGATTATTAGATCGTTTACACAAGCGCGCGGTGTGACTTATATAGGGAGAATCGAACAAGCATAACTTGCAAATTAAAAGATGTTGGCTCCCCGGAAGTACAAAATTGTGTATCTATTAGAAGTGTTTTACAAAAATAAAAGGTATATTAGTTATTTCGCAAGTGCTATTTTATGTAGATTATAGCAAAAGCTTATAAGCCCACTTAAAGGGTAACTGAATAACCAGTAAAGTGAGAGATTACCAGAATTAAACCAAAAATTCATTAAAAGCAATAATTACACAATGAAAGTAATAGCAGTAACTTCCTTAAAATAAGGATACGTAGGAAGCGAAGGAAAGTTTTTATAAATCATTGGTATAGATCTAAGTATTAAAGGTTAATTCTAGAGGAAGTCCTTAAAAAAAGTATTAAAAGTAATTAAAAAAATATATATGAATGCAGCGAAGGTATGCCAGCGGTTATCAGAGAAACGTAAGAGCTTTTTATTAGTACACCGAGGGGGTTGTGAACTTGTTATACTCATACAAAATCCCTTCTATTATAATTTGGTTATGAGTAACACTCTGTAATGAATTATTAATAGTATTTCCTTTTTAAAAACTTAATACATTCGCTGTGAAAAATATAAAAAGATGTGATTAATAACCGAGCATCACAGCAAAATATTCCATAGGATAAGCTTAGCTGTATCTAAGTAGTTTGCAGAGATGTTAAAAAAAATATAACAAAGGGTAAATTTATGGTTTTTCTTAAACTTAATGTTTTTATAAAAACATTAAATTTTTTTTTTTCATAAGTAGATAACATAATATTACGTTGACCTGATACGTAATGATAGATGGTTTATAGCTTTAACACTGAATAATCTAGTTAATTAAGATCTCCATTTCACCTTACTAAATTCGCTAGTATAGAATAATAAAAATGTAGTAATAAACTACTATTATATCGAGGAAAACCAGTTTATTTCTTCTTCTACTTGTATAACAACCTATTATATTTTTAAAGTTCTACAATTAAAGATACTGTTAGCTTTCTTAAAGGGACAGGAAATCACTTATTAAGGTATCAAATCCTAATACATACCAAATCAAAAAATCATCAAGAAGTGCAATAACCACTTTGCCGTTGAAATTTCAAGTAACTAATAACCTTTTTGAGATCTTTACTAAATTAGCCTTTGCTCATGGAATAAAAATGCTTGGAGGTCTTTTTATCTTCTTTTATACATTAGAAAAAGGCTTTTCTATATCATGTACACAAAGACAAAATCTTTGCAGGAATGGCGTTAGTCAACAAGTCATTGAATATCAGAAACCAATTTTTTCTATATACATTCACCCACACAAAGTAATGGATTACTGCGACATGGAGAACAGACGCATTGTTAAAAATGGATTACAGACTTATTGTAACAAATTCTAATCCCTATACTAATTTAGGCTATTCCTTAAATTTAATAATACAAAATTGTTAAACGTGGTTTAAATTATTAATGATATAGTTTTCATTCTTATGTCTCAAAGAAGAGAGAACAACCTCGTTTAATTTAAAAGAAAAAAGTATTTTTACCTTGATTGTTTTAGATTAGAGTGAATAGAGTATATAATTTAGTAGGCGGTTTTTCATCGCGGGTGGTACCCATTTTTAACATAAATGGAAAAAGAAATCTAAGAAACTTCACCTCCATAGCGTTAAAAAAGTGTATATAGGTACTTTCCTGGGTGTTTTTAATATTTAATTCGGTAATAGGGCAAAATATCACTACTGATAGAAGAAGGTTAGTTGATTTTTATAGGCTGTCATCTTTTAAATAAAAAATTACTTACCACTCGTTAACGTAGCTGATTAAAAAAACTTTACTTTTTTAAGAAACTTTGAAACTTTTGTAAATTTTTACTACTTTAAAGTTAAATTTTTGGTGTTATCTTATTTAAGGTTTAAAAAAAAATAAAACTTACAATATTTTTAAACAGAATGGCGTATTATTTCAATTTTTTTACTACTTCATTGCTAATTTTTTGTTTAATTATGTAAATACGGCGTTATCTTAAAATATAAAAAAAAACTAACACTATTTTTAAAATGAATAGTGCATTAGTACTTTATAATTCTCTAAATTTACAGATCTAATTATTTATTATAAATACTTAATACTTAACATGAATATGTAAACTGATTTTTTACACAATAGCCGTAAATATTGTACACAAAACCGTTGGCACTGTGGCATTCACAAAAGAAAAGAGCAAATAAAAATAAGGTTACCTGTTTTATAATTTATTTTGTAATTAGTATTTAGTTATTATATTTGTGTAGTTTTCTAAAATCCATAAAAAAGATTTCATGTTGCGTTAATAGTAAAACGTTTCTTTGTCAGTTTTAAAAAAGTTGATTCATACAAAAATGAATTAGTTATTGGAGGCTTTTTATTTTCATATTCTATTTAAGTTAAGACCTTTAAGGGAGTGAGTTAAGACTTCGTTAACTTTTTATTACTTATTAATTTTTCCCTGGTAACTTCAATGTTGGTAAAGATTTCCTTTAGTTCTTAAAAATAAAAAAAAATTTGTACTTGGAAGCTGATTTTTAAACTTTTTTTATAAGTTTACTATTGCTTACAATATTCTACTAGGGGAAATGGCTACCTACAACTATTCTTATATCTTTAAATACATAATTATCGGCGACATGGGAGTCGGCAAGTCTTGTGTTTTAAATCAGTTTACTCTAAGCAAGTGTAAGTGAAACCAGTTTGTTACTTATTTTTCCGTAAATTAATATATAGGTCCGCCTATATCTTTTATTAATTTCTTTTATTACTAGATAGTAAAAAAATAAACAAAATATAAGTATTTATCTAAACTTTACAAAGCAGTTATGGCTGACATTCCTCATACCATCGGAGTGGAGTTTGGCACTCGTATAATAGAAGTTGACGGACAGAAAATTAAATTACAAATCTGGGATACTGCCGGCCAGGAACGTTTTCGGTTGTTATAGACAAGATAATAAAGAAATATATCTAATATAGCAACCAACCTAAAAAGAAAAAAGAAAAAAAGAACAAACTTACATATATAAAAAATTGAGACAGTTTTAAAAAAGATTAGTAACTAAAGCAGAAGAATAGAAATTTATATAGTGTTAAAAAAAAAAAGAAATTTATATTCGCAATCAACTTGATAAAATAGAAAAGTGAGTTACTATAAATAAAATATAATTTTTTGCATGTAAGAAACGATAACTATCGAATCATAATAAAAATAATTCCCGTGTAGGGCTGTAACACGAAGTTACTATCGAGGAGCTGCTGGTGCTTTGCTGGTGTACGACATTACAAGAAGGACAACTTTTAACCACGTGGCCACATGGCTTTCGGATACTCAAACCTTAACCAATCCCAATACTACAATCCTCCTTATTGGTGTTTTCATATATCTAAAATTTACTCCTTTTGGCGAGTATTATATAGTTTTTTGCACGAGAAGTATTCATTTTGGGTCAATTAATATAATAAAAATATTAAAATCTAAAAGTACTTTTTTTTTATTAGAAAAAGTGTTATTTTAAAAACCTAATAATTTTTTTAAAAAAGTAATAACTGTTTTTTTAAAGTTGCAAAAAACTTCCTATAAGTTATATGAATATATTTCTAAATCTTCTGCCGTTAGGATGAATTTAAATAAAATATGCGACTATAACTCAGTTGACTAATTTTAAGAATACAATCTTATCTTAAATCAATTTTATCAATTTTATATATATACTTTATAAATTATGATTTCTTTTATTTATTTTTTTCACACTTAAACTTTTACTAGTGTCATTATTTTTCAGTGCAATAATAAAACCCACCTAAAACTTTTATTTCTTTAGAAATTCTTCAAAAACTTTTGGTTTACATTAACTTTTTTATATTATAATGCATGTTTTTCGTTTTTATATTTATAGTTATTACTCATTTTTTGAAGTAAATTTCTAATTCTTTAGTATATACACTTTTTTTCTTCAAAGTTGTTACTTTTTTTATTTAAGGAAATAAATCGGATTTAGAAGAACAACGCGATGTTACTTATGAAGAGGGAAAGAAATTTGCTGAAGAAAATGGGCTTTTATTTCTAGAGTGCAGCGCAAAAACGTAATATATATTATGTTATATGTTACAATAATTAAAATTAGATTATTTTATTTACATTTTCACTGTTATTATTTTGTTATCAATACTATTTTAATTTATTTATTATTACTATCTCTAATTTTATTTATTTATTTATTAATTATAAGAGGGGATCACGTTGACGAAGCTTTTGTTGAAGTTGCTCAAAAAATATATCAGAAGATTCAAGACGGAAGGTGTGTCCGTGCTATTAATTGCTCGAATTAAATATATTGCAATTCTTTTGGCGCCTATCCATAGATTTTAGTGAATTTTAAAGCTTTTTATTCACTAAAATTTTTGAAGAAACTTTTAAGAATTTAATTAATTTTTTTAAGCCCAAATAATTCTTAGTAATAACTATAAATTATCTACTCTTTCGCTTATATTAAAATTACTATATTTCATTATTTATTAAGTTAGTCTTATTATGAGATTTTATCTTTGAATATCCAGTTACACTAATTACTAAAATTGTTATATTTTAATAAATATAAAACTCTTCTTTGAGTTTTAATTTATTCGCTTAATTCATTCATTAGTAAGTTTTTGTATATAAATATATTTTTTACTACTTTAGTCTGGACCTAAATGCGGCTGAATCGGGCGTTCAACAAAAACAATCTCAGAAAGGTAATAACTTATTTTTATTTTTATAAATAATTCTATATATATTTTTTTAATAATTTCCGACAGTGGAACTTCCGTTTGGTGAAAATAGCGCTGTTACTAGCGACAGTTTTTGTTCTTGCTAAAAGAATAAAAACTATTAATAAATATTATATTATTTTACAAATAATTTGTAATAAAGAGTTGTTTAAATTTAAAAAAGAAAGTTAACTTTATAAAAGCAGCACCCAATGGAAAAATGACCTGCGACGGTCAAAGTTAGTGAGGGTTAAGGGATAGCGATAATATATAAAGGTTCACTTAGGGGGCAAGGACTTTTTTTTTCTATCCTCTCTTTTTCTGTGTAAAAAGTTTTTTTGTGTGTGCCGCCTTGCTCTAAACGGAATAAACATGTAAAGGGAGAGTATGTATATATATATATAATCTTTATCTTAACTTCAAAGGAATGCTGAATCTACGAGGATCTTGACTATCGTTGACTAGTTATCAACCGTGTGAGTGTTTAGAAGAAACAAGCCTAGAGTTGAATTGGATAATATACAGCCTTGTAATCTCCCGACTGGCCTTTTAGCTTTGAAAAAAGTTTGGCGACTAGGCCCATTAACTTAGCTTACGTCAACTTCTAAGGAGAAAAGCTAAAGGTTAATGGGTAAGATAAAACCTGCCTAAGGACTCAAGCTCGACCAAGGTTTTTGCCAATTATAAGATCAGATATTTCTGCCCCTGCGTAATGCTGCCTGTAGCTCATATATATATGTGTGTGTTGTTAAATATTACTTTATACTTGGATTAGCCCCTTGCTAGCTGATGTTAGCCTTAAAATTAAAAAGTATACTGGGAGAGTCCAATAAAGGCACATATATATATTCGGAGTCGAATAAATAATATATAGTACCTTTAATCAGTCACTTGCTAGCTAGTGTTACCACAGTTCTAAAATACGAGATTGCAAGTTTGCGACTACAGACAAAAGTTTAATAGTTACTAAATAGCGATTGTTAAAAGTGATTTTATATTCAACGTAAGTAATTCAGCGACATCTCAGAGGCATTAAAGCGCATATACATGAAAAAAGGCTGGCGTTTCACTATCGCATGATTTTTCGATAAACTTTTTTTAATTAGGTAAATTAAATTTCGACGTGAGTAGACTAGTTAACGTTTTTTACATGAACTATATAGGAATTTCTTAAAACCTTCTATTTGCTGAATATAGACTAACATGGATTATATAATAACTTGATAATACATGTAATTATGTTTATTTAAACAAATTGTTAACCCGATCAAAACCAGAAAATACTAAACTTTAATAGTTATAGAAATTTGTAAAATAGAATACACTGAAATATTAATGAAGACTAAAAAGCTGAGTGTCATATGTTTAACAAGAAAAATTTGGCATACACTTGTGAAGGATTTAGAGCATCACATAAAATATTAGAATAAAGCTATTATTAGACTCATTGAAACATTTTAAATGTTGTATTTACCTCCTCTATATACACCGATAAATTGCCCACTACTTTTTTATTTATTTTTTACGAAGATTTTAGTTTAAGCTTATACACTTTATAATACTACTTTCTATTTCTTTAAGATTAAAATATGAGTGCACGGTTATAAAAAGAACTCGTAAAGGATTAAACCTTTTAGATTCCTAAAAAAGTGTAATTTTTGTTTGTACTTTTAAAATTATCGGCCAGTATTAAAGAGCGTAAAAACGTTTCCAAACTCCCATAACTATGAAATTATAGTCAATATATATTTTTTAAAAATTAAAATAAAAACAAAGTATTGCAGATCCCTCTAAAGGTAGTTATGCAATAAAAACAGGGATAATACAAATAAGGAACTAGAGTCATAAAGTGCACAATAATATTAATATCGTTTAAACCATTTACTATAAAGATTTTAAAAAATATATATATTAGTGATAAAGAATACAAAAAATAACTAATAACGGCACGACTAACAGTTTTCTCTCGTGGACCAAACAGGTCTTGCTTGAAGGGGAGTTCAAAAAAAAAGACTAATTTTAAAAATAGTTTTTTTTTATGATGTTCCTATCACTTCGGTATGGTAAATTAACTAATTCTTTTTATAAAAATATTTTTCAAAGGCTAATGTCCACAACGCTAACTTTTGCACTCGATCAATTTGCTCTTAGACAGTTTAATCACAACGATCCAACTTATAAAGGTGTTAAGAAATTTTCTGCTTCCTGTTTTCTATAAAGTTTTTCTTATTACTGTGCGTTCTTTAGTTATTTTATCAAAATTCTTCATTCTGCTAAGTCATTTAATATAAATGCTTTAAGTATCCTTTTTTTAGTAAAAAGAAATGTAACATTTCATTTTAACACCTTTTTTAAACCTTATTTTACTAACTAACATATTATAGGAACAATAATTATTCACGATGTAGATGACTTCGTGGCACGAGTAAATAAATTTTATGCAGAAAGAGGATCAGAGTAGATATTATAGCCTTTTAAAATTAATTTTCAATTCAAATAAGATACATGTATTTTTAAAAAAATTTATTAGTTGTTTAAAAGATGGCTACGCTGATTTTTGCAAACATTTATATGTAAGTGTGAGCTTCCTAATTACTATACGTATATTTAGTACTTCAGTTTTAATTTATATTGTATTTTCTTGAATTAAAAAATTACCTTCTTTTGTTGTTTTACAATTTACAACCAAATTATTATTAGAAAAAACATAACGAACTGTTTTATATATAAAATCTATTTATAAAAATTATTATAATTATCAATTTTTTGTAAATTTTAAAGTTAACATTTTAACTCTCCTATAAATTTCAAATTTACTAATTTTTTTTGGTTATATAATTAATTTTATACATCTTTATGTAGTCTTTCATCATTCCTAAATCATTAATAAATTATATTTATTATGTAAATTTATAAAAGAAAAATATATTAATCTTTAAACCTATTTAAATGTTTATATAAAAGCAACATTCAAGTTTTAGTTTATTAGTAACAAATTGCTCCGTAACAAAAAATATAAATAGAAAAAGTATAGAATTTTTTATCATAAATAAATTTTTTGTATAATTTACACTTAACAATTACAAGTAAAAATTTGTAATAGTAACAATAATTTATTTAAATAAATATTTTATTATATTTTAATAATAACAGTAAATATAATTCTTTTTTGTGCAGCTAATTTGCCTCACTGTATATTTAAACTTTTTTATGAAATATTTCCACTAATTTAATTTAAATTACTTTTCCATAATTTTGATTTTCATAATACACAACTTTGTAGATTTAATGAAAGTGCTCTTTTTTTTAAAAAAAATTTATTATAATTTATAAAAAATACATTGTATTTTTTTGGTATTCTATTATTTCAATAGATGTAATTAACTTTAAATCTTACAAATGATATAATTTCTTAAGTATTTTGATAAAAAATTTTATCTTTTTTAATTATTTGTTTATTTTTTTGGAAATTTTATTCAAGTATTTATAAATATTCATAATAAAAATAGAAAATACGTTTATACATTAATTTGGTTAAAAGAATTTTTATTTTAAAATTCTAACTTTTTAAAATTTGATCCCTTTCCAACCGAGCTTGTGGCCTTCTTAAGTAATCTTCATTTTTTATTAATTATAATAAATTTAATTAAATTTAAGAATTTTAATAAATGTTTCTTTTATTATACTGAAATCTATTTAAATATTATTATACTGAAACTTTTTTTTATTGATATTGAAACTCTATTATAAATATTTTGTACTTTTATATAAACGTTTATTATCATTTTTATGGTACTGTTTTATCTTTATTATAAATTAGAAGTTACAAAAGTTCTTATATACTTTTAAATTTTTAATTTTTAAAAAAAATTTAAATTTATAGAAAACTTAATTAATTACATATTTAAGATTCCCAACTTTACTAAAGCACATGTTGGCTCGCTGCCGCTTTCTGAGGAAACTTTACCTTTTTTAAAAACGGGCTACATGGCGAGAACGGCGCAGGAACTTCCTGTGCTTTGGTTTTTTTAAATGATCTTTTCTAATTATTTTGAAAATCAATTTTTTTTATAAAATTTTAAATCAATTTTAATTTCTTTTTCAAAATTTAATATTTTATATTTAATTTTCTAAGGATATATATAATTTGTATTTAAACATCTGATTTTTTTGTATAATTGTTTAACTATTAAATTTTTTTTTTGAAAATCTAATTTTTTATATGATTGTCTGAAAATAAGTTATTTTGTATTTATTTTAATTTTTTATATATATAAAGGAAAAATTTATTTTATTTTTAAATTTTAATCCTTCCTTTATGATTCTCTGAAAACAAATTTAATTTGTACTTGAAATATAAATTTTTATATAATCATATAAATATTAATATCTCTTTTTTGGTAAATCTTATTTTTTATATAAATTTGTTTAAGAAATATTAGTAAACCTAAATTTTTACGGCATTGTTAAATTTCAATTTTTTATTTTTTTGCAAGTGCATATAAATTTGATTTAAATTATTATTACTTTTCAAATTTAGTTGAAAATTCTAATAAAAACTTTTATAATTTAATCTATTTTTAAAAAGATTTAATTATTTATTATTTATTTTATTTTAAAATAATAATTTTACTCCAGTTTAATTTTTTTTTATTATTTTTACTTTTTTTTTTCTTTTGTTATAAATTAGCTGAAGTGGATTATAGTATTCCTTGTGAATATAATTTTATAAAAATTAAATTATTAATTTAGGAAATCAACTGAATATTCCTAATAAATTAAGATTTACTATTAAAAATTTTTGTTTTTTGGTTTATTATTAAAAAAATAAATTTATTAAAACTGTTAACATTTATTTATAAAATTTTTTTAAAATATATAATTTTTTTTTAAATAATTTTATTATATATTTAAATTTTTATTTGACTATTTAAATTTAATTTCATAAATTTTTTAATTTGAATTTAGTGGATTAATAAAATTTTTTAATTCTCATATTGAAAATAAAATTCTTTATTAATATATTTTTTTTAAATTGTTTTTTTTATTTTATAATAATTTAAATTTAAATTATAAAATTTTAATTTAAAGTTTTAGTTGATATATATATATATTTTTTTTATATATATTTCGTAATGAAAAGTAATAACATAATAATTTTTTTTATTCCATAAATTTTGAATTTTGAATTTAGCAATTGTAAAATTATTATTCTTCGTATAGAAATAATTTTAACTTTAAATTAAAAATTTAATTATTTAAATTTTATTTTAAATAAATATTTAATTTTTTTTATATTAATTTCTTATTACTTTTTATTTTAAAAATTAATTTTTAGTGGAATTTTTTTACTTGATAAATATTTTTTTGGGTTTTTTAAAAATTTTTCTTCTATTTTTACTTTATAATTGTTATTTTTAATTATTATTTTTTTATTATAGTTTTTTATATACTTTTCAAATTTTTGTTAATTTTTTTAAATTAAAATTTTTTCTTTTTTAAATAAATTTAATGGATTTGCTTTAATTTATATTTTTTACTTTAAAATATTTTTTAAATAATACTTTTTTATAATTAAATTTTTTACTTTGAATTACTGTTTTGTGCTTAAATCTTTTTTTTATTTAGCTTTTATAGTTTTATTTAATTTTTATAAATTATTTTTACTTTTTAAAATTTATTAAAATTTTTTTTAATAATTTTAGTTTAAATTTTTATTTTTAAAACAAGTTTTTTATATTCAATATCTAAAAAGTTCAAAATATTTTATTAAAGTCTTTTCTATTGAAAATTTAATATTTGTAAAGTCTAAATATTCGTAAAATCCAAAATTTTGTTAATATATTTTACTTTTTTGCTTAAACTTTTTTATTATTATTGAAAATAATTTGTTTTATTAAAAGTTATTAAATATTTTTTTGTTTTTTATGTAAACTTTTGGTAAAGTTATTATTATTATTAGTCGCTGGTTCAGCCGTGAAGATTTTGAGAATATCTCTGAAGCTCCTTTTTTGGATATTATTTGTTATTCACGAGAGCAAATAATAAAAGAAGCAAAAGCGAGAAACGAGCCGCTTCCAAGTAATAATAATAAAAATACATTTATTATTATTGATATAACAATAATTATATATATAAAAAGTTATAATAGTATAAATATAATAATAATTATTTAATACTACTAAAAATATTATATTGTTAAACTTTTTTATATATAAATAATAATAATAAAATATATATAAAATAGTTATAAGTGTATATGATAACAATAATATAAAAAACTAATACTATATATCTAATGCCACTAATAAAACTTTTTTTTATTTAAATAATAATAATATATATAAGAATATTTAATACTAAAACTAATAATAATAAAATAAAATAGTAAATATACTTTCTACTACTTATAATACTATAGTATTAAGAAACTTATTTACAATAAATGATAATAATTATTAAATATATGAATAATAAATATATTTAATAATATATTAAATTATTAAACTTTTTTATATATAAATAATAATATTTTATATAAAGCTATTTTCTCAAGCAGTATTTTATAGAATATGCAGTTAATGCTTAAAAAGTTTCTTTTTTCTTTAAGTATGACTGCAAATAATAAAAGAAAAAAGCGAGAAAAAAAAACAATAATAATATATTTTATTCAAATATATAATAATAAATGTATTAAAAAATGTTCTTTAACAAAAAATAATTACAAAATTAAAAAAAGGATTATAATAAATATATATACTACTAATCTGATATATATATGAAATAGATAATAGTAATAAAATATAAAAAGAAATAATATGATAAATATATTTAATACTACTAATAATATTATATTATTAAACTTTTTATGTATAAGTAACAATTATATTATATAAATAATAATAATAAAAAATAGTAAAGGGATATAATAAATATGTTCAGTACTACTAATAATATTATACCATAAAATTTAAATATGTAAATAATAGTAATAAATATTAGAAAAGAAATACTAGTATATTTAATACTACTAATATATAATATATATTTTTTTATATAAATAATAATAATAATAATTATATAAAAAAGAAATATAATAAATATTTCACGTTGCCACTAATCATATCATATTATTCTATATTTATATATAAATAATAGTAATAAAAAGAAATAGTAATATATTTTTATTACAACTAATATAATATTATATTTTTCATAAATAAATAATAATTTATATAGTTATTATTTTTGCTGGGCACTTTAACAAAAATATGAAGTAAATTTATAGTAACTTTTATTTTTTAAAAAAAAGTTATTATTATTTAAACATTTATAACAAAAATTTATTATATATTTCTAAATAATTACAAAAAGTTTCATAAAAAATTATGATAGTTCTTATATTTTTTTAATAATACTATACAAAAGTATATATGAAAAATATGAAATTTAATATATATATAAACTTATAAACTTTATGCTTTTTTTTTCTAAAAGTTATAAAAAAGTATATAAACGTTTCTTTAAACTTTTATAATATTTTTTTTAAAAATTATTGAAAACATTTTTAGCTTCAGTAAAAAAAAACTTATATATATTTATTTTATAAGTTAGTAAATCGCTTAAAAATAAATAATAGTTCGCTTTTTTTTTTATTGTTACTTTAAAGGTAATTATAATTTTTGCTTGTGATTAAAATTTTAAAATTTCTGATTTATAATTTTTTTAATTTATTTTATAATTTGCCTTTTTTAAAAAATTTTGAACTTTAAAAAAAAATATAAAAATAAAAAATTATAAACTTCTTTATAAAAGTTTTATAAAGTTTTAATAAAGACTTGAAAAGTTTAATATTTAATTATAAAAACATTATAATTTTAATAGAAATAAAACTAAAAGAAGTTATTAGTTATAAATAAATACTTTTAATAAAAAGTTTAGCGACTTTTTTTACTATAACAGTTTTTTATTTATTTATTATTATTTTTTTAAGTTTTATGATAAAAATTTATTTTGCATTTTTTATAAACTTTTATAATTTAAAACTTTTTCTGGCTTTCATAAAAATTTATTTATATAAAGTTATTATGATGACAAGTTTTATAATTAAAGTATCGCTTTACTGAATTTTATTTATAATATAAATATTTTTATTGAATTAAATTTATTAGTTTTATTAATTTTTAAAATGAGCAATCCAAAGTTTTTTAAAAAAAAATTTTCTTAAAATTTAAAAAATAAATTTTAAAAATTCGCAACAGCCGATAATTATATTAAATTCACTATTTATTAATATAATAAAAATATACAAAATAGTTATTAAAAAAGTTTTTTTGGTGGAATTTAAAAATAATAAACCTAATAGTAAAACTTTTTTAAGAAATATAAATAATCTGTTTTATTTTTTATAATTTGAGATTTTAAAAGATTAAATTTTATTATAAAAGAATACAGTAAAGTTATTCGTTTAATAAAAGTTATTAATACTATTATAATAGTCATAACATAAATTTATTTTATATTAAAAATAAATATAATAAAAGCAAAATAATAAAATTTATAATTTCTTATTTTGTAAAAATTTAAATTTTTAATTATTTTTGAAATAAATTTTGAGAACTGCTTTGTATAGTAATGGAGTTATAAACTATAAACATTAAAATTAAACCAAAATATTATTTTTACTAACAAAAATAATAAAATAAAAGAACTTTAGTAAATTATAATTTCTTTTCTATTAAAAAAAGTTACTACTTTAATTATCTTTTAAGAATTTTTGTTGAGGACAAAAAATCGTTATATTTTACTTCCTTTAAATAGGAAATTTAGAAAATCTTAAAAATTTATATTATATTAATTGTAAAATATAAGCAAACTGTTACTTTTTCTAATAATAATTATAAAATCACAAAACTTTAATGAATTATAATTTCTTTTGTATTGAATTTAAAAATTTATTAAATTTTTTCGTTCCAATTTATTTGCTTTGAATAGTAAATTCAAAAAAAATTATAAACTATTAACAATAAATAAAAGCAACTCTTTATAATAATAGTTAAACTTTCAAAATTTATATTTTCTTATATAATAAGACATTTGAAATTTTAATTAATTTATAAATTTTCATGGTGGTGAACAAGAAATCTTTAATTTTTATCTGCTTTGAATGATAAATTTGAAAAGATTAGTAAATTTATCCAAGTGCGCTTACTTTCGTTAACATAAATTTTTATAACAAAAACTTTATAAAAATATTTATTACTAATATCTTATATATATATATATATAAAGTTACGTACTATATCACGATAAAGATTATATTTTTAAATATTATATAAAATTTAACTTAAAACGCTAATTTTCTAATTTATTTAGACAGTGATAGTTATTTTTTTATTTAATTTTAATTTTTTATGAATTTATTCCTTTAGCTTACGATTCTCCGTGGGGCATTATTAGCATCAAAGCTCAAGACGTTGACTATGAAACTCCGATGCAACCAATCACGATTATGCGAAACGCGTTAATAGAAGAGGGAGGAAGCGGCGTTAAGATTAATAGAAAAAAGTATATGGAAGCTGTAAAGTACTGGGAAACACGCGCTCTTTTGCAATAAAAAAATAAAAATATAAATTAATTAATAATTCGTCTGAAATGTAAATTAAATTTTTCTTTTAAATGAAAATTCATCTATAATAACCCCTCAGGGTTGTGTAAAGCTCTAACCGTTTTTGTTTACGAGTGATAGATTATTAAAAAAAAATTTATATAGCTTGCAGTCCCCTTCAAAATTTTAATCTTTGCTTAATTTTGTTGGCGACAACGTAAATTCAAAAAAAAAGATAAACCGTTTTGAGTTTATGTTATTAAGAATGTTTCTAACTTCACATAGTAAAACATGTGTTTTCCAAAATTAACAAAAAGTTCTGTAATAAGAAGCACGCACAGTTGCAATATTACTTGCTAACATTCAGCTTATAGGAGATAATATAGTTTTAAAATTACCTAATATATTTTGTTTTTGCTTCTATCTTTATTGTTATTTGCGTATCACAAGCACGAATTATAAACAAGCAAATGATAAGTAAAAAAACCGAATATTCTGGTTATACTTTAAAGAATGCTGCTATAAAATGCGATATCTTATTTTTATTACTTTTGAAAAAGTTTTATTATTTTATAAGCTTGAAGTTAATTAGCGAATTAACCAACTTAATAAAGAGGACTCCATCTTGTAGTTACAGGTTATGTAAGACTTAACACGCAATTCTTTGCGTTTTCCTTGATGCGAAATCATCCATGATATTAATAGCTGAGATTGATAGCGTTGACCCCTTTTACCTTTCTTTTTTTAGTGGGAAGTACGTAAATGAGCAACCCATTGAAGTAAAAAAAAACTGCTAAACTAATGAAGAATAAATTTATTTTATATAAAGTAACTAAGATTTAAATTTTAGCTTAAACTTCCCCTTCTAAATCCCACTTATTATTTTTTTTTTAGTTTCAGGAAAAGAACAACTTTATTTCTATTATAAAATATACTTCACTTTTTGGTAATATTTAAGTATTCAAAAAATTTTAAAAGATATTTAAATCAAGAGGGTCCTCCTCATAGATGGTCGGAAAGAACAAAAATGTTAAAGCCTCCGTATTTCGCTTTTTGCGAATTCGAGGTAAAAACAAAAAGCAGAAAAAATAACTGAAAAAAAAAATTTTAACAAGAACACTAGCTTTAACTTTACTAACGACTGTACGCCTGTATATATGCCAAACTATATGTTAGAAAAAAACAATTTTTTTTTCAATCGTTGAAAAATTGTTACTCAGAAATTGTTTTATTTATATGTATTTGTATTAATATAATTCGGTAAATTAAAAATTGTAAAAATATCATCGATATCAAAATGGTTAAAAATCTTGTTTAAAGTAAAAATTATTCTCATTTTCAGTTTTTATAACACCCACTATATTTTTGCAATAAAACCGCACAGGTATATTCAATATATATTAATACTTTAAAGCTTCTAATATTATATATTAATCGTTAATTTTTAGAGTTTAAAGCGCTTATACAGTAGCCTTTTAAAGAAAATGTATATTTTATACTTCTGTGTGAACGACTTTTGAAGAAAGCATGCCTATCTACCGCAAAAAATATAAAAATCTCAAAATATTTGCAAATAATTTAATAAAATACTTGGTAGAAGGTAACTAATTCACTTCATTCAAGTTTAACAACGCAAAGTTTAAACTTTTTGGAAGTTGTGCAATAAAACATGCAAAATTTAATTGAATTAAGATATTGGTCACTATTCCTTACTATTTAAAACTGATACTTCATATATACCACTCTTTCTCCTAAAGAGCTATTTTTTAGTCCTTCATATATTATTTATATAAGTAACTAACTTTTTAAAACATATGCAAGTATTATAATATAAAAATTTATAGAGAATGCAAGGTATCTTTTAAGAATGGTGAGCGCTTCCCCTTTCCCCGTTTAATTAAAAGCTATGTGAGCCTGAGACAGTAAAGAACCGCTAAAATTGTTCTTAAATACTCAAATTTATTTTTCTCAATTTTTAAAATAACTGGTAATATTTACAATTAGTAAATAAAACTCAGTAGTCCTATTATAAAAGCACAGCAGCTTTTGGTAGATGCAAAGTTCACAAAGTTGTTATAGTAATAACTAACATTGAAAGAATAACTCCATAACCCAAAAAAACAAATAAAGAATAAAATAAACCTAGCAAAAAAGAAATATCTAACTAATACTACATGACAAAATAAAATTTTAACTTCGCATTCAAGCGAGGGCTGTTTTCGAACGTTCATAAATGGTAGACAAATATCAGTTTCTTTTTTTTAATTGTTGTAAATTCTAGCTTTCCCTGCGCATAGTCAAAGTTAAACTGTAGCCTTGTAACTAGTATGTATAAAAAGAGAGGGGGAAATAGGTTTACTGAAATTCTTTGCACCTAATGACAGCCTAAGGCGAGTAAAGTTATTTTCCGCAAATTCAAAGTAACTAAAGGTGACACCGCGCAACCATTGTCTTACTGCGCGCATGAAGCTTAAAGAAATCTTGAAAGTAGCTAATCGGCATTAATAAATGTTTCTTGAAAGTGAGGTTCTAGTAAACAACGTATAAAATTTTAACAATTCGTAGATAAGAAAGATTAAACCAAAAAAAAAAATTGGTTTAAGGCTTCCTTCTACAAGATCTTAATGAGTTATTTTCCCTTTGCAAACCATGAAGAACCTGCTATTAACCTAAAAATAAAGTTCTTGAACTTTTGTAGTTCTATATTTTTAGCTAATTCATTAAACTAAGAAGGCGAAGTTTACGTTATGATTAAGCATATAATCTTTTAATAGTTGGGCTTCCTAAGTAAAATTAGGCTGTTAATAGTTGTCCAATTTTTTAATTATAATAATAATAGACGACAGACTTGAATAAGATTATAAATGTTAGTATAAGCTTTAAAAGATGACTAGCAGAGCATATTTTCTTAAACATCCTTTCTAATGCCTTTTATACTAAATCTCAAGTTTTCCCATATATAATTTGCAATTTTGATAAAAGTATATCTCAAGTTTAGTCTTCAGTAAATTAATACACTTTTTTGAACAATCAGTCGAGTATGGTTCAAGGATTCCTCTGGAAAAATTAGCGAAAACTTTTACTAATTAAATCTCTATACCGCATTCGAATATTTTATTAACAAAAGGAATAGTTTGAATATCTTCAAGTTTAGCGATAATTTTTTGAATTCAACAACTGTATATATGCATAAACGACTAAAATCAAACAAAAAAAAATTAAGCAATAACTACTTATATAGTCCAGCTAGCTGATGTGCTAAGGATTTTTATAAGTTATAACTTCATTGATAAATAAGTTCGAACTGAACAGTTTCTTTTTAACAAAAGTCATTAATGAGGTAAAGCTCGCAATTAGCATGTTTTAAGACGTGTAAGTAGTTATTAATTTCGTAGAGAATCCATGCTTAATGACGCTCAGAGGTAAAATTTCATTAGATTCGGTTAATGCTTTCTGTATGGAATAACTTTATATCTCCAAACAAATACAGTGAAGTCAATAATAATTAAAAAAATAAAAGTGGTAACTAAAAGAAGCAAATTGTTTTAGATTAATGAGAATTTTAAACATTTAACTAAAATAAGGAGCTAAAATCCAAATAACACTGAAGAAACACGAATCGTATCAGTTAATCTAGTTCTCTCTCCGTCCCGTTAATTGGATTTTTGAATTTATTTCTTCAATATTTCTTTTATTAAACTTTTTCTATGATTTATATTGGTTCCTATTTTACTTTAATTATTTTAAATTCTATTATACTACTATCTGGAGTTGAGAGGGAGCACAACCATAATTAAAAAATTAAGGGATGCTAGCGTCGCACTTTTTCTTTTTTACTGTAATTGTTGTTGTCAGTGTTTGAGGTGGTGAGTGTAATGCTACTCCGGCGGGTTGAGCGCGGTCCAGTAAATTATTACCGCTTTTCTTAATTATTAACTAATTCTGTAGATTATTTCTTTGTAAATTAATATAATATATTACTTTCAACTGTTTATTATAATATAGTTCTTGAAGTTTTCCAATATGTAAGAACTCAATATTATAAACTTTTACTATATTTTTTAGTTATTACAATGCTTTTGTTGTAAACCAATATTTTTTATATTAAATTAAATCAAAATCCACTTTCCTTGCAACGCGTAAGCAAATAAATTATTACGTCCACCTTCAATATTCTTTGGGTTAGTAATCAGTTACAAATCTTTAAATCTTGTTTGTTCAGTAAAAATAAATTTTATTTTAATGCATAAAATACTCACAAACAAGTTATTATTTAAAAATTTAAATAAACCAATTTAATTCCTTCAGTAAACGCAGTATTCTCTTTAACGCGAATCTTAATCTAACAACTAAGGGGAAAATTATGTGAGATCTAAACACTCAAAACGTCTTGTATTGAAGAAAAACTTGTAATAAAAATAGTAATCACTATTTTCGTTCAATAAATTAAAATAACATAATTGATTTCAAAAACATTTCAATAAATTTTTTTGTTAAAGTAAAGTAGTATATTTGTTAACGCGGACTTGATTTATAACCTTAGCAAAAAAACATAATAACTTTCGCAGAAATTAAACCGAAACAAAAATTTTAAATTATATTTCCAATAGTTTTCATGCTTTTTTATAGAAGTGTGCAAACAATAATATATTTTCATGCAAAAAATTTTATAATATATACTAATAATAAAGTTATTATAATAATATAAAAAGATATATAAGTAATATATATTAAAAATTGAAAAGAATTTAACAAGTTTTATTATTATTATAAATAAAATATAATAGTGATATATATACATGCAATATACAAGTAATATATATCCTATAATAAATTAATTTTTCCGAAGGATTTAAAAATTATTAGTAAATGAGTAGCTAATAATTTAGAAACCTGAGGTAAAACTGCCGTATACTTATTCCGTAAAAAGTTATTGAAATATTAAAAATGTAAATATTTGAATGACTTTTGTTGCCTTGAACCAATAGACTCAATAACCTTGAAATTAGAAGCTTGGGCTATGTATACAGGTATTGCCTTTCGAAGCAGTTTTAAACCTAATATGCCTAGGAAGGTCTTGGAAATCCTTATCCAAAACCATGGTCAGAGCGTGCCAAGTTATACTTAAAATTATAGTCATAGAGCGAGTACTTGCGAATGAAAGCAATGGCTAAAATGTATGTACAATGAGTGATGACAAATAACACTATACTTATTCCAAAGCCACCAAAAAGTCACATGAAGTTTGGTTAATTAACTAAACCTTGCGATTGGAGTGGTGCTTAAATCATATGCATTCGAACGTGCATGAAATTCAGAGCTGTTTGCTATGATATAGAATAGCGTTATTTACTAGTATACGTATAATATAAGCGCGCAATCCCAAGAAAAATATGAAAATATTAATAAAGGAAACAATAGCTATAAATTTTTACTAAAGAAATTTCAATGTATCTTATAAATGACACGTGGCTGGAGGATTGCACAATAATTTTGAGCGTACTTTTTCCTGTGCGAGTTCTTCGTACTTAAAAGTCTGTTTATTTTTCTTTTTTTGAGCTCTTCTGGCCTAAAAAAAATTATAATAATGAAGATTTATTTCAACCCCATCTTTTTTTAATTATAAATTTTTAGTTCACTATAAATACTAAAAAGAAGGGTAAAGTCAAAGAATACTTTTCTTTCTTGGCGAATACGCGTTTTTCTTTCTTTTTTCTCTTCCAAAGTTTCGTGTTTGTCTCTTACAAGGCCTTTATCTAATATAATAACAATTATATAAAAAATAACAAGATATAGTATAATAATAAGTAAAACAAGCAAGCAACAATAGTAAATATATAGAAGAATAGTAATTAATAATACAAAAAGTAACATTATTATTGAAAAAATGGTAACAATAATAAAATAAGAAAGTAAAACCAAAAATATTATAATTAATAAAAGTAAAAAACAAGAACATTAACCAATATGATAAGTAAATTAAACGATAAAGATATTATTATGGTTAAATGTAACAACAAAATGGCAATAATAATAATGATAAATATAATAATAAACCTTGCTGAACTTCTTCAAGCTGATCGGATATCACTGAGTTACTTATCTTCTTGTAACGCCTTTTTTCTATTATAAATAAAATATTTATAAACTGCTTTAATTACTTAGTAATATAAAATATTAACTTTTAAAGCCCATAAGTACGTCATACAAATATTGAAAAAAAAAGAGTATAAAATAATTTTTAAGTAAAAGTTAATTAAAATTATCCCATAAACTTTATAATGCAAAAAAAAAATGAAAGAAAAAACTAATAAACATTAAAGAAATATTATTCAAACATTTTTTATTATCCAATATATTATCCGAAAAAATTGGGTAAATAGTAGTAATATAATCAGCCAATCAAGTATATATAAACCACAAAGTAACAATAAAAACAGCCAATTGTATAGCATATAAGGCCATAATATATCACAATTTAAAAAAATTAAAGAAACAAGTAACGTTAGACCCACAAAATAATAAAAAAAGACTAAAAGTAAAGTTTGAAAGTTAAATTAGTCAAGAAATGAAATTTTAATAAGAAATATCAAAGTTTACATAAAAAGGACAACATTCACTCCATTAAATAGACAAATTATACTTTTACAATACTTTTTATAATAGTTTGTAAATATTAACTTCTTATATTTTAATGTTAGGCAAATGAAGAAGCAAAATATTTAATGATTAATACTACAGTACAACATAAAAATAAAAAAGTTAAATAATATCTTAACTTTCATATAAGTTTATTAAAAAATAAAACATATTTAATTCGCTAAAGATGTTAGCTAATAATATTGATAATTACAAGCAAAAAGTTACTTTTAAGTAAGAAATCAAACCAATTATGTAAAATTTGCTTCCAAATAGCTACGATTTACTCATAAAATACCAGAAGGAGCGTTTCAAAGACCCAAATTAATTATAAAAGTGCTATTGATTGCGTAACGTTACAAATTATCTGAAAAATCCCCTTATGGGTCAAAATTAATACAAATTTTTATTATAGTAATTAAAGGTTACAATTAACAGTATATTGGTCCAAATAAACACGGGAAATAAAGTCAAACTAAAATTTAATAAAAGGGACCAATAGGCAAAAGCAGTGAATTTTTCCTTTTATTGACTTCCAACACGGAAGGCTGATTGGCGTAAACGGGCCGCTGGTCTACGAAAAGTAGAACTTTATTATATATTTAAGTTTTTAATATATACAAATTAAAACTAATAAAAGTTATGCTTCGCTTATTTCAAGTTAATATTAAAAAAATAATAAAAAGTATTAAAAAAAAGTTTATTTTCTTGTAAATATATTATTTTCATATATTCCAATAAATAAAAAAGTTATGCTTTACGTGTCATGTTTTTATAAAAAAATAAAAATAAAAAAGTATCAAATGAGTTTATTTTTTATAACAATATTTTACTAATTATACACCAAAAGTTTTCCTAGTATTCATTATGATGTATATTTAATACAACTAATAAAAATTATGCTTCTGCTTTTTATAATATAAAGAATATGAAAAGCATCATCTAATTTCTTGTAAAAAGAGTTTATTTCTTAAAAAAATTATTTATTCTCTATCTTTTATATAAAAATAACAAAGTTATAGTGATCTTTTATAAAGGCTAATAAGTACTATACTTTCTTTAAAAAACTTTTTATATAAACAATACATAATAATATAATCTGATAATGTATTTTAGCTTAATATATAAATAATAAATATTTATATATTTTCAATAAACACTTCATAGAATATTTTGTAAATAGTATTTTATATGGTGCCAAATAAAGATGTTTCTCTTATGCTATAGTATAACTATATTTACTTGAGAAAATATGTATATCGTCATATTAAATACATTATTAATTACTATATAAAAGAAGTTTTATAAAACTTTTTTGTATGAATAAAACTAACTTTTAATAAAAATATATAAACTTGAAAAACTTCGAAGATTATATTTTTTACTAAATAAAGAAATTTCATTATATTTAATAAACATTAAAAATTTCAATTCTTTTAATATTCACTGTATTTTTTCTTACTTTTTCTTTTATATAAAATATACTTTTTCTCATTTTTATCTGATTTTTCCTTATAAAAACTTTTGAAAATATTGATATTTATTTTATCTTATAAGCTTAAGCTAAAAAAAAGTAACTTAATATTATTTACTATTTTTTTTTAAAAGGTAAAAATAAAACTTTTGCGGATCACCAAAAAAAACTTTAATATATTTATTATTAATATAACACAATAAAAATATAATATAAATAATTCTACTCAGAAAAGACTCGATATTTGATGGATCTTCATAAACTTTTGAGCCAGTATAGTCAAGCCTAATAAAAAATAAAGTATGTTCGTAATAATAAAAATAGTGAAACTTTTCGAGCAAAATAACGAATTATAATTAATAGTTAAAAAAGTTGACTAAATAGTAATAATAGAAACGAGTATAAATAAAAAATACAAAAATACATGTTTTCAATTAAAAATTAGAAAATTTATTAAACATCAAAAACTTTTAACAATAATAAATATACTCTAAAATTCACAGATTAATAATAATGAGCAAAAAAGGGTATAAAAAGGGTATATTTAATAGTAAATAATGAATATATAAATATAGGATATGCATTTAGAATATGTATTTAATATATATTTATAGTAATAAATGAATGAAATGTTAACAGTAACTATTGTGTGAAGAATAAAAATAATAAATATACTGAAAGTTGGTGGCATAATAATAAGTAAAAAATTAAAATATTAATAACATAAAATAGAGGGTAAAGAATATAAATAAAATAAAATATAGTCAAAACAAATCGAATAAGAAGTTAACAATATAATATTGTAATTAAAATTTTAAATAATAATACAAAGTAAATAAAAATATGGGAAAGAAAAATATTAAAAACAATATTTTATGAATATTATTATAAAACTTTCATTATATATAAAAAAAGTAAAAATTTAATATAAAGATAAATAATGTTTTAAAAATAGACAAAGCAAAGTAATAAGAAGTAAAAAGGAAACTTACTGGTTTCTTTTATTAATAAAAAAAAGTAGTGCATAACTGTAAAATATCGTAATAATAAATTCATTATAACTTTCGCTATAAAAAAAATTGTTCTTAATAAGAAATAAAATTATATACTGCCTTCTTAAAGCGCTCATAAAAAGCGCAGAAACCCGAAAGAATGTGGTGCGATGGGCACTGATAATTAACCAATCAAAAAGTATATTATTATTGTAAGAATAATATTATAATACTTTTTCATCATCTTTTTGCACTAATAAAAATAAAAAACCAATAAGAAAAAGTCAAGCTTTCACTATATTTATGTAACCTTTAAAAAAAATAAAAGGAAGAACACAAATTTATAAAGCTAGGCAATAACCTTAAAACTTTTAAACTATAAGCCTTATTGGTAAACAGAAAACTAGGTGGGCTCTCATTGGTTGCCAATAGCATTATTTTCTTATTAATGGCGACTGTTCAACATCTATTATTTAAATCGCAACCAAATAATACTCCCTTCCGTATAAACAGTATAAAAACGCAAGCTATTTAATAGTGCCCCCAATAAAAAAAGAGTTTTTACTTTAGCACTTTTTTTAGTGCAGCTCAAGAACCTTTTTTGGATAATAATAATATAAAATAATAATTTGCGCGAATAAGAACAACAATAGCGAATAGCGCGGAAATAAAACTTTTTATATATAAAAAAGGTCCAAACAATAATGTACAATAAAATAGTTATATTATCCACACTTACATTATTATCTATAAAAACTGAATATGAAAAGTTATGTGAAGTAAAAAAACATATATCAAAAGTGCCTGAATAATTGCTATTATTAAATTATAATAAATATTATACTACTATAATAAATACAATAATAAGCAAATATACATAATTATAGACAATAAAAATAATTTTATTATAATAAATTGATAATATACGTTTTATATAATTATTAAATTTAGTAGAAAATTTTATATTAAGTGATAGCTAATATATTCTAATAATAAACAAATGAACCAATCATAATAAAAAAAGTAAAACTATAAAAAGGGCAATTAAAAAGGCATAAAAATAAAGAAATATACTTCTTCGTTTTGCAGTAAAGGAGAAAATATAAAAGTATATAAAACTATAAATATAACAAAAGTTAAAAATTAAAATTACATGACAAAAATGAAAAGTTAGTAATATATTAAAAATATGTATATATAAAAATAAAAAGTAATATATAATAAAGACAAAAAAATCAATTATACATTAAATAAAGTAGTTTTTTGCTATAAAGTGAGTATTAATAAAAAATTTTGTAGAGGTAAATATATAAAGCTAAAATAAATGAGTAAAAAAAAGTTATAATATTTAAAAAAATTTATATTATTTAAATAAATAGACTTTTGATAGTTGAAACAAAAGAAGTAAATATTACTAAAACCGCATAAAAAACAGCCAATGAGTATTTGGGCATTAACACAACAGTCCAATGAAATTCAAGTATTATTAGTAAAATTCTTTTTATTTTTAAAATGCAATATATTTAAATTAAATAATTTATAACTATTAAAATTTTAATAATATTTTCGGTAATATAATAAGTTTTCCATTACGAAATTTTCTTTAAGAAGTTTGATATTATCTACTTAACAAGCGCTAAAAACTACTTTAAAAGCACTTTTCTTAATTCTCTTTTTTGCTTAATTATTAAACGTATAAAAACACAATAATAATAATAATAATAATAATAACCATTGGTGCGCGCGAAGATCTTCTTCATAACGATATGCTTTTTCGTCGTCACTGTTTAGTTCTTCGTTGCACCATTTCTAAAAAATTAAAAAAATTATTAATAAAAACATAAATTAACACAATATACACAACACATTATTTTTCTTGAACAAATTGAGTGCCAAATTTTTTTACCGCGATTTTTAAAAAAATACTAAAGAGTTAAAAATTATCTAAAAGCGTTTCAGTTATATTTAATTAAAAAAAAACTTTTATATATTTAATTAAGCGCCAAACTTTTTAGCCGCACTTTTTAATGATATGAAAAACTAAAAGTTATATAAGCAATCAGTCACAAAAAATTGAACAACATTCCGTAATTTTTATACATATATTCATAATTAACATTTAAATATAATGTAAAAGCGTAATCATAAAAAAATTTACATATTTAAATAAATTAATTGTTTTTTTTTCTTATAAAAATATTATAAGCAAATCTAATTTAGCACTTCCTTTAATTTTATAATTAAATATGCCATTATTTAAAATTTTATAATCATTTTTCTAATAATTCCACCTAAAATATATAAAAGTTCTACAAAAAATATAATTACACATTCATATAAAAAGACGCCAATATTTTTGACGCTAATTTAAAAAAAAAATTTGAAAAAAAAATATTCGGTAGTTTAAATAAAATTACTCAAAAGTTTATATAATCATAATAAAATTGATGAAAACAAAAATTTATATAACGTGACTAATTTATAATACCAAAAATGGGTGCCAATCATTTTGACGCTAAAACTTAAAAAAAAAGGCGTTTTTTATACAAAATTAACTTTTAACAGACTTTTTTTTAATTCAATATTACAAGTTCTATATTTTGTTTAAAGATATATAATATACTTTGAAATTGCGTATTATTTCAGAAAAAAGTTAGTGTTATTAAATTTTTATTATGGCTTACTTTATAATTTTTATTTTAAACTTTTTAATAAATTTTATTAAACTTTACAATTTTAATAATAAATTATAATAATTTCTAAACTAATCTTGCACTTCTTAATCTTTTTATTATTACTATGAATTTCACTATACAAACTCGTAAAGTATATACACTCATATATTTTATTTCCGCGATTTTTATAAAAATATTCCAAAAAGTTACCTCTAACCAAAAATTGTATATTATTATAAACTTTTTCATTTTTAAGAAAATTAAAAAATATTTTACTTTTCAAGTAATAAAAAACTTTAAAAAATCTATTATGAAAAGTTATATATACATATGGTATATATATATATAGCCGTATACTATAAGGCGCTTAAGTATTGGGTTGTCCTTGATTTCCGACTGGGGATCTACATTTATCCTTTTTTTTTTTTTGTTCAGCGCTTTAAAGTTTTTTATTAACTCATTTACATCTGCAGTCCCTTAAAAAAAAATAATAAAAAAAATTTAATCGAGAAAAGTAATAATTATAATCAAAAACCAAAAATTTTAATAAAATAATTACAGAAGTTACAATAAAAATATTAATTAATCAACATAATCATTTACAAATCTAGAAGTTATATTAGAATTAAATCTTAAAAAACTAATAAATTTTTAGTAAAAATTATTATATACAAAAGTAAAAAAGAAATTACAAACAAAATTTTTATAATTGAAACTAAAAATTAATATTTATCGTAAAAATGAAAATTATTAATGAGGTAATTAACTTTAAAATAAAATAATATAATTTTTAAAAAATAAATTTGATAATAAAAATAATAATAACACGTGATAAATGAATTTCTTTACATAAAAAAATTCGCTAAAGCACAATAAGTATAAAAAAAAAGGCCCAGGACGGTCTCGACTCGATCTCAAAATTTTAAGAGAGTATTAACCAATAACAACGGTTGCAATTAATATAATACTACAAGAACTAAAATTATAATGATAATAATAAATTTCTTATAATAAATTGAAATAAAAAATAATTACGGAAATAATAAATTTTGTATAAATGAAAATCCCAATACAAAAGGCCTCGGTTGCTCTCGGTTGGGTCTCAAAAGTTAATGATATTTTTAACCAGTAACTACTGTTGTTGGTAATAAAAAAAAAACAAACATTCTTTTTATGGAAAAAACTGAGCAGTGCAGTCTTTTCTACTTCAAACCAAACAGATTTAAAAAAACTCGCAACTCAAAAAAAATAAAGAAAAAAGTATTAAATAAAAAATTAAAAAAAATACTTGTAGTAATAAAATTCGTAACAGTACTATATATAAACAGAGAATATATATCTTCGACAAACTAAAAAAAATTTAAGTCCATTCTTATATAAAAAGTTATATTTCGACTTATATATATAAAAAAATAACAAATCTGAATCTATTTTTATATATAAAGTTATATTTCAACGTAAATACATATACCAAACTTAAATCTATTTTTATAGAAGTTATATATAAAGAAAAATAAAATCTGTTTTTATAAGAAAATTATTAAAAAAAGAAAAATAAATAAAATTAAGGTATTTAAAAAAAAGTGTATAATTTTCATCTAAAATATATATAAAAAAGAATTTAAAAATTTAAATCTATTTTTTAGAAAAAAGTATAAATAAAATATATTAAGAAAAATACATATAAATATACAAGATAATAAAATAATAGACTAATCTATATATATATATATTAATAATATAAATAACAAAAAAAAACAGTAATGAAATAGAAAATAATATATAATAACTAATAAATATTTGAATAATAAAAATATTAATAATTATTAGAAATAAATAACAAAACACTAGCAATAGATAACGTAATAAAAGTAACAATAAGTAAATATGTTATGTATTCAGCTATATATATAATATATTAGATCTATAATTCATTTAAGAAAATATTATCAACTAATAATAAAATTAAAATCTAACTACAATTTCAATTTAATAGTAATAACTCACCATCCAAATCTTGATCTTCGCAATAATAATCGTCGTACTGCTTAGAAAACTCTTCGAATTGCTCATCTACGAAAGTAAGGCCGCTGTTTCTTGGCAGGACTGAAGAGCTCAAGGAATACTCCGTAAATCTGGAAACAGTTTCTACTTCGGAAGAGCTTTTCTCCTCAAAAGTGGAATCTCTGATTAAATATATACAATTTTAAATTCAATAAAAAGAAGTAAATTATTAAAGCGGGAAGGACTGTAAACCTCTTTAAAAAATTCAAATTCTATGTAAAAATAACAAAATATCATTAAAAAACTTACTAAATTTTAAAAAGCTTAAGAAAAAATTGAAAATATCAATAATTAAAAGTTTAAATGCTTAACAAAACGTTTTATTAATCCCTTAATATAATCAATACTACTTACTGCATAAGATTACTATAAAGTTCTTTTTTATATATATCAAAAAAATTAATTTAATTTATAAATAATAATTGTTTTATACAAGAAAAAGCAATCTAAAATTAAAAAAATCTAAATTTAAAAAAACCAGCTTAACTTTTTGTAACATAACAAAAATAAGTAAAGTTAGATAACAACTACTTCACAAAAACTAAATTATGTATAAAAATAGTCCAAAATCTCATAAAAAAATCAATGTTAATTAGAAAATTTAGAATATCTTTCAGTAAACATATCGAAATCTCTATAAAGTGGCACATACAATTTAGAAAACTTAAAGACAACTACAACTGAAATAAATCTTCAGAAAAATTTAAAAAAAATTAACACAAGAATTAAGAAAAAGTTAATAATAATAATAAATAAGAATAAATTTAATTTACAATCAATTAAATGAAAAATATTTAAACTTCCATATAATTTAATAGATAAGACATCAACAAAAACACAATTTTCCCTTGAGTATCTATATTATAAAAACAACTCTACTCTAAAAAAATGTACAAAAGGAAAGAATTATATATATAGAATATTTAATAAATGTAGCAACAATTATAATTATTTATGTAAAATTAATCTAATAAATAAAAAAATATATGAAATAATGCAAAAATTATTTTTACTAAAGTAATATTTAATTATAAAAAAATTAAAATTTACAAGTCAGAGTCCACACAAGTGGAACCACCGATATCAACTACGTGATCACCATTAACCACAAAACCATCTTTAAACTTATAGTTGTAGTCAATATCCTCAAGCTTCATCTCTTCTATAAATTTCATCAAATAAAGTTATGATACAAATTATGTAAATAAATTTTATACTTGCTTTGATAATAAAGTCATCTTCTATTTCCCATTCTTTGTTATGTACAACGTCATCTTCTAATTGAGCAAGAACGTCAAGATCATAATCAGCTTGTAATGTAGAAGAAGAAACGGTGCTAATAACAGAGTCCTCTTTAAAAACTCTTTCAGGTAAAATTTGATTAGGACGATCCACAACAAACGCCTAACAATTAAAATTTTCAGAGGCATGAATTATAATTCAACAAAGAAATTCTTAAATAAAAAATATATAATCTAAATATTATAAAATGAATAACAGGTTGAGTTGTATTTTCTATTCTAAAAACACTGATGTTTTCGTTGACGGAAGCTAAGTGCTGAAGGTAATCATAATCATCGTCAAAATATATGCCATACTTGAGCTGTTCTATCTTTCGTTCATAATCACTTTGAAATAAATTAAATTTAGAATTTCAAACAACTAAAAAAAAATAAACCTTTTATCTTTTGGCACAAAATTGTCCTCGTTAGCTATTTTGTTTGTAGATGAAGAAAAAAACTGATCGGCTTGAACAGCGTTAAGCACAGACGGTTTTGTAGAAGAAGAAAGTGAATATTTAGTTGCGCTTTTTTTATCTATGAAAGATTTCTTTTTTTCTCCCTTATTAAAAATAAAAAAATATAACTGACATTAAAGTTTTTATGTATAATAAAAAGGTCTACCATGCTAAGCCAATATGTTCAAGTTTGAAACTTTGTCATACCGCGTGGCCTACACTTTCAAATATATAATAACCCTTATAAACATTTTTCTTTTACTTATTGGAGCAAAGATGGTTTACTATACTTTCACTTATAAAAAAAATATTATTTCTTGATTCTCCAGTTTTATAATTTTCTATATTAAATCTTTTTAGGACATAAAATAGAAGTAGTAAAATATAAGGTTAACAATAAACCTGTAGCTCTGTTTACCAGGGCGCAGGAGAGGTAAAAGTGATACTACAACATAGTTTTATTGCGCACATCATTAACATGATAATAACCATTGATAAGGTTTACAGAAACATTTACAAATTTTTTCTATTCATCGGGTGATACACAATATTGCATATTGTAAACTATTCTTGGGATTTTTTTCTGTTAGCTTACTGGAAAAGGGTTATAAAAATGTTTGTTAAGTGAGGTAAGGTGCCCTTGTGACGGTTTAAGCGAGAGTCAGTTTTATTACCACAGCGAAAAATAAACGCTCCACTTTTAAAGGAATAGTAAACCTTTTATTAAGATATCAAGTACTAACAATGAGTGTTTTCAAAAAATTTTTTTTATTTAGTAGCGTATTTCAACTTTTAAACTGGTGACCTCTTAATACTTAAAAGAGTATTAGTAAGCATTTAAAGGGCTTCAAGTTTAATTTTGCCTTATTTCAGCCTTTAAGCAGAACGTATAAAAGAGATATCCCCTTTTTCGCCCCACCTACTACATTAAGCGTAGAATTGTGTGTGTTTTTTTAATATTATAAAACCACAAAACTAACTAACACTTTAAACATGCTTATTAGCTTGTTCTATTAAAGTAGAATGAAATAAAAAAGAAAGAGAAGTAGGTCACTCTTATAAAGCGTTAGCGTCAAGAAAAAATATTTATATGGTAAAGGTCACCACTTAAGGGCTAGTGGGGGTGCAGTTGATAAGAATCAGAATTATTAATTCAAAGTAGGCAAAGCAATGGTGCGAGACGCTCGATCAATTGTGTTGTTACCCAAAAATAAAGATTGTGGCATTGACTGCGGATGTTAGTTATTCTCATATCAGCTAAAGTGCCTCATATAAGCATGAAACTAGGGTAAAATTAATATTCACACACACCGGTGAAGTACGAGAATCTAGCACTTGCCGAAGGACTAAAGAAACAAAAGGTTGTGGAAGTATAAGGTAACTTGTTATTTCAGAGAGTATATATATATACACTTGTATATAAGGCTATTGGAAAAAATGCATAGGAAGTTCCGTGTTAGTGTGGGGTTGTTTCTCTTTTGCCAGCGTCGGAGATTTGGTTAATATTGTCAGGGGTCCTGCGCAAAGAAGACTATCTCCAGAAACCAAAAATTAATGCGCTGCCTGCTGCCCTCAAGCGCTATTAATCGGTAGTAATTTACCTACATGCAGGACAATGACCCTAAACCCACCGCACGGTGTGCAAAAGTTTCCTGGCGTTAAAGATGAGGAAGACGCCCTCCAAATCATAGCGTGCACCCCCTTTCCCCACTCACTCTCCCCCCAAGTCAGGATTGAATTGATCGAAAAAATATGGCTTAACTCAAAGAGAGAGTCAGGAAAGAATATGTGACATCAAAGGAAAACCTTTTTAGGGCTCATTAAAGAGAGTGGAACAACAACCAGCAGGAAACATTGAAAAAATTGGTGGCAAGGATGCCGAGAATAGTGCGTGTGGTAACTGCCTCCAAAGGTAAATTTTTGATGAGACTAAATTTAATTTTTTTGCATTTTTACATTGTCCTGTAAAAATGATTTGCTGTTATGTTTGTCCATTAATTAGTATTTACCACAAATGATAATATCATATCCGGTTTAATTTTATTGCGCCAATTATTATAGCATTTATCAACATATACTTATTTTCCATTCTTTCGTTAGCAATAGTGTACTATAATGATCTCTTTTAGAAGTTGTATTAATTTTACAGCCATATCAATATTTAGGTTTTCGCGCATGCAAAAAATTAAATTCAGGACTTATTTCAGGACTTATTTCTGCTCTAATATATTTTATTATAGAAGTTGTTGCAGTCCAGTTAACTTTCCTGTTCATTATATATAGGTTGTCCTTATGTATCTTTATAAAGTAGTCATTTCATATTTAAATTTAGCAGAAATTTCAGTTAAATGCTTTGAACTTGCATCCGTTACGATTTATTATATAGCTGTTTCCATTATAGTTAGAGGTTAAAATTTTATTGAAGTGTATTCAATAAAGCAAGTGATCAGGGAGTTTAAGTAACGTGTTTTCCAATCTTTTGGGACAGTTTGATTTTAACTTCCACATCTCGCTACATGACATGCTCTACAGGAATGGTTTCATAAAAAATCTTAAATTTGGTTTGGTTAATACCTTAGTAGTGTAAAATGAAATGTGGTTACTATAAATTTTATTAGTGAAATCAAATATTTCGTTATCTTTAATATTGCTGGTATAATTATATCTTCTTTACTGGTTGTTAGCTATCTCATTACTAAACTTTTTAATAATGACATTAATTTTATCTTGTTAGGCAAGTGAAAGCAAATAACTCGAGTATCGGGGTAAAAATAGTTTTTTACAATATGTTGATTTACCGGTAAGTGTAAGCCTTTAAAAGTGATGTATTAATAAACTATTAGTTATATAATATGGTAGTTTGTATATTATAGGCTATAAGATATCACAATATAGAGTTGTTAAAGATTTGACACAGTAATAATTTATCTGATAAATTTAAAGACTCCTGAGGGTCACCACAGAAATCAAAGAGAAAAAAAAAGTGTGTTCGGGTCATTTCATATATATAACAATTAGCCCTCCTCTATACAATTAAGGAAACTTTATAACCTGTTTTTGGTCTAAGATAGCATGCAGAAACGCTGCAGAATATAATACTATAAGAGAGGTTTTATTGTTTTCGTTACTGTTTCTTAAAGAAGAATGTAGCAGATCAATTGAGCCGTTGTATAATGTTGTATCTTCTTTTAAAGCATACTTTAGCCCAAAATTGAAGAATAACGTTTTTCTCCTCACCACATCTTAAACAATATAGTTTTTTAATTCTTGAGGTTTCTGATTAGCCTCATTAGCTAAAGAAAGGGGTGGCGTCAGTTTTGCAATTTTTTTTGGTCATCATTCAGAGGTTCTTTTCTAACAAAAAAAGACCTTTTAATTACTGTTTTGACATCCATCACCAATTTATCTTCTAATTCGAAGTTAAAATCATTTCTTAGTTGTAAAAAAGTGTTGTAAGGCAATGACAGATGGTGTTTACAGAAGTGTTTTAGATCTAGATAGGGTAGGTAAAAAAATATTTCCCTGAACATTACTCTAGTGAAATCGCTGAAAAATTGTAATTTATAAGTGTATTGCTGTTACTTTTGTTATTTTTTCGAAGTATAATAGAAAGTTGTTCAAGCTTTTGCGCACATATATATATACGGGATAATAGCAATTTTTTAAAGAACGCACACTGCCAGCGAGTAGCACTAGCTGGATTAGTGCCAATGTCCTAATTAGTCGCACTTTCTAAAAAACCTGTATACAGTACAGTTCTACGGTCGCCTCGACGCTCACGCGTGCGCGTTGAGTATTTTGCTCAAAGTATGGTATAATCCCCAGACGTGAAAAGCGAGTATATTTGTTCTTTTAAGTATTAGAATTATTTAGTGTATATATGTATATCGCGCAGCCATAAGGTCTTCTGTACCCGAATGGTCAAGCGGGAAAGTCATGCGTAGATTACTAAAGTAGCCTCCGACTACACAATATCCAAAGGTAACTGTTTATCACGTGACCCTATCCTTATATTTTGTTCATTACTTGCTTTTTTTGTATGTCGGCAGTTGTTTAATCCGTGGTATCTTCTTTATATGAACAATCCCGGGCAACTTCGCGCTCTCGGTCGCTTTGGCGCTGTCTTCGCTTCAGTAGGAGCTTTAGGAATATATGCTTTTAAAAATTCTATCTACACTGGTATACGTTTTGTTTTATAATTCTAACGTCTTTGTGATTTTAATTTTTTTTTCTTTAGTTGATGGAGGCGAGAGAGCGGTAATTTTTAGTCGAATTGGCGGCGTACAGGAAGGAATTATATCTGAAGGTAAATATTCTAGCTTTTGCCCCAAAAAAAATTAATTAAGTAATTTAAGGAACTCACTTCTGCATACCGTGGCTGCAAAGGCCTATTATATATGACACCAGGGCGAAAGTTAGAAGAATATCAACTCCTACTGGATCTAAAGGTTTTAATAATATACAATTTTGTTTTATTAATTAGTTTATTTTTAAATAAATTTTCCAGACCTGCAGATAGTAAACATTACGTTAAGAATTCTCTGTCGACCTGATAAAGAAAAGTTGCACTTAATTACTAAAGAAATTGGCCCTGACTGGGATGAACGCATATTGCCTTCTATATGTAACGAAGTTCTTAAGTTAGTAGTTGCTCAATTTAACGTCTCGCAACTTAATTCTCAGAGAGAGCAGGTTTTCATAAACTATAAAAAACTAATTATTGAATATTATTAATTTAAAGTTCAAGTTTTAAGATTTTTATAAATAATTTAATTAATATTAAATCATGTAGATTTCTCGCTTAATTAGTCAACAGCTCTCTTTACGATGTTCTGAATTTCATATTGTCTTGGACGATATATCTATTACAGAGATAAACTTTTCACCAGTTTATATGGCCGCAGTGGAAGCAAAGCAAATTGGTCCTTTATTGCTTAAAATATAACAATATTTTATTTTTTAGATTTTGTATCTAATGTACTCTAATTTATACCAATTAAGCTCAACAAGAAGCTCAGCGGGCCCAGTTCACAGTAGAAATGGCCAAACAAGAGGCTCAGAGGAAAATAGTTCGCGCACGTGGTGAAGCCAAAGCAGCGGAAGTGATTGGTCCGCTCTTTTATTAATGCCTTTTTTATTATTATCTATATTTATTCGTATAAAAACTATTTTAATATTCATAAATCTTTTTATATTCTAATTTCTTTAATCTTGTTTGCGCTTTGTGCGTTTGATTCTTGTATCGGGTCTAAAACTTTTGTTGACTAACAAAGTTTATAGGTTAGGTTATAAAATACTTTTTATTACTAAATTTAATTGTATTTCCTAATCCTTATTTCCTTTTTTTCGGCTTATGTTCATATTTTCCTTTTTTTATTAATTTTTCTTTTATTTTACCTTTTTACATAAAGGGAAACAAATTGCTGGTAATCCTGCTTATCTTCATAACCGAAAAATTGATGCAGCAGTGACCATGTCCAACATCATGTCTAAAAGTCAAAACAAAGTTGTTTTGGATTCAGATGCTCTTATTCTAAACGTTCAAGAAGTTTTGCTAAAATAAAATATATAAAAGTTATATTTTTTAGTTTTGGAATCAAATTTAATTACCAATTTTTTATTGTATGGAGTTTTTTATTAAAATTTAATTTTATAAAATAAATTTAAATATATAGTTGTATATGTTATTCGATTTATTTATATAAAATTTTTGGACAGCAAAATTAAGTAGGTTTGCAGTGCGTCACACAAAATGCATATGGTATAGCTGTTAGCATGAACCCTTCATGATGCAGTCGCTAATCTCTTATGCACGGGCTACCCTTAAATATATTTTTTAATTATTTATATTATAAAAACCTCCTACACATTAAAAACGTGTATATAACAGCAGGAGGTAAAAGAAAATAATGTAAAGAAAAGAGATACGTAGCAAACTCTTCTTTTTAGGGCCGGTATTTCACTTATATAATATAGTAACACTATTTTCTTAGTCTACTCTATCCTGTTGTGATATTGGGTCTAACTGTTTCCTTTTATGGTATTGAGGCGACGTCACGCAGTTCTATTATTTAATAGAACAAAACTGCAGTTTGATAGGGTGTCTTTTGTCTACTAACTGTCTCTAGTTTTAAAATGAAGTCCAAAACACTTATTTTTTTATGTGAGTAGTAAGCTTTTCTAGGTTTTTGACTTCAAAAGCGCATTTCATGCTTAAATGAAGTTTTTACATTAAGTCGCATATTTTCAGAGGTTATCCATTTTTGGTTAGAGAATAACGCAAAATCCTGTCTAAAGAAAGTTATGTTCTTAAAAAAAGTTAATACTATTACTTATTCCAAGTATCCCGCTTCTTTTAAAAAAGCCAAAATACGTCACAAAGAACAAAAATCCATTTATTTCCACTTTCTTACATTAATAATATAAAGATATTTTTAACTACTAAGAAAATAAGGATACTTTGGGGTTCTGTAAGTAAAAGGATGGTCTCAAGTATTGCACCAACAATACAAAAGTAGTTTTTACGTATCATACCGGTAGAGAAATTTGTCAATGTAGCTCTGCGAAAGCAGTCATTTATTAGTCTTTCAAGGTTGCGTTTTTAACTTCGCCTCCTTAAATTTATAAAAATTTATATACAAAAAAATTTGACTTATATGCTTATTCGTTTTTTACTGTAAACCCTCCACATATGTAAAAGAAACTCATTTGCATACATAAAAGTATATTGCTAAAAAAAAAGTGATTACAGGTCTATGATTAGAGAAGCCAAAACTGGCTTTTAAACATTCTACCGGCAAGTGGAGCTACAACCTTTTTTAAAAAGAGAAAGTTAGAAAAATACTTGGAAAATAGGTTGTTGTTTTTTTTACTATAAAACTTAACTAGCTTTTTAGTTGTGTGGGAACCCGTAGTGACTTGGAGATAGATTTATCTTCCCAAATAAACTTTTTTTAGAACGCGATAACAAATATATGTATCAGAATAAAAAAATGACTGACTTTTAACTTTCTGATTTTACTATATATATTCCTTAATCCTCACCGCTCACTAAGTTTTAAACGTTTGATAAGCTTTCTGTATTGGAGACGGGGTCAAAGTTATAGTTTAATGGCAGTCTCAATTGGCTCCTCAGTTAAAAAAAAGCGGGCTACCTCATGTAATTCAATAAGCTGCTTTAAATTAAGTTGAAAAAGGACTCTAAGGATATCTCAAGCTATAAATACTTAAGTAGCGTTCGCGCAGTAACGTTTTTTTTTTTTGGAAAATCATACACTTTTCCTAGGATTGTCGTAGAGAGCTCAGCAGCAAAAAAAAAAAAAAAAAAAAAAAATTGTCCAGTAGTATTAAAAAAAACAATTTAAAAGTTGTAGAAAGTTACTCTGCGAAAATTTTCTCGTTTCTATTCTTTTTTTCAGAGATGTAAAATTTATTATAGCGTTTGGTTTTTAACTCTAAAGCCTTCGTACTAGACAATACTTAAAAAACAGCCCTTGTGCCCATTATGAGGGTAGAAGGCTATATATATATCAAAGCTACTTCTCTGCTCTGTAAAAATGTGTTAAGATGAATGGGAAAGTACAATTAGAAAGCAAGGAAACCTTAAAAACTTTAGAAGGTGATCTGAAAGTTTATTATCCCGTTACTTTTAAAGGTGGGAAGTAATATTGCTTTTTTTTTTTCTTATTAAGAAAACTGTAGAAGCCATCTTCTTGAATATGTTAACAAAAATAGTGAATGGGGGCCAGCGCAAAAGTCCCACTTTCAACAACGTTTAGAAAAAGTTTCTTAAAAGCAACACATAATTTTTAAAAATACACCTTTCATCTAATATATTTTAATACTTCATTTTAACTTTAAAGCAAGTTTATTAAATTGTTTATTTGAGCAAAGACCTTTTCAATTAAACTAATTAATAAATTTTGCCTTTTTACTGTTTTTTGTGAAAATCTCTTTAATTTTTGTAGTAATTTTTAGTTTTCGAAATTTATCGTTCCTTGCATTTAAAGGTCATAGAAATAGCCTTTGAAGTTTGTAAAGAAAACGTTCAAATAAATGGTGTCGAGTGGGATGAGTACAACGAAAATTCTGAAGGTTTTTTTTTTTTTTAAAAAAAATTCTCTAAAATAAGAAATTACTTAAGTAATTTTTTTTTATCTTTAATCGATTCTAAAAGCTATTGAACCCTGCGACCTTCAGCTTGTCGAAGATCTTCGGAGAACTCAAATTGAAGTCAATACGCTGCTTTTAAACGTTACAAAGTCGAGGTGAATAGTGTAGAAGTAACTATGAATAGTAACTTTTAAGCAATATTCTATTTTTATAAGAATTTATAAATATGAATTTGGGATTTTTACTATATTCCTTGTTTCTTTAATACTTTTAGTTAACTTAGTTTTCTTTTAATTTTGAATAGAGGTAATAAATGTTTAATTAAGTTATGTTAACGTAAACCTTTGAATACTTTATAAAACCGGCTTTCAATTATTTATATGCATTAGCAACTTTGGTTATGAATTTACTTAGAGTTCATTTTTTATTATAATGGTTTAAAAATAAAATATTTGGTGGTTTTTTTGCCTATGATTATTTTTTATATTATTAATATTATAATATTTTTAATAGATGGTAAGGCTTTTCATTACTTTCAATAATAAAAAAATTTATATTTAGACTAGATTTAACTGAGCTTACTATTTAAAAAAATATAATAACTAGAGAGTGTATACTAATTTTTGTTATAAAATTTATTAATTTGCATTTTGATTGAAATTTTTTCTATTTTATAAATTTTTTGATATTTATTCATCTCTAAGTTTAAAAAGTATACTAAACTTTGTTAATAAATGATTGGTATTTTGTTCCTATTTTTTAGGGCGGAGATGCCCGCTAAGTTAGCAGCTCTTGCCGAGCCTAGTTTTGAAAAAAGAATAAAGGATTTTGAAAATCTTCTGGAATCCGAAGATGAGCCAATTAGTTTGGAAAAAGACGAGATGTTCACAAAAGGCAAATCACTTTTAACTTTAGAAAGTTTTAATTTATAGTTCGTTATATTTTATAAATTTTTTAAAAATCTTGAAAATTTTTAATTATTTTTAAAGCTTAAAGTCAAAACTTATAAATTTATTTGTTTATATTAAATTTATAAATAAAGTTAACAAATTAGTCACTTTCCAATCAAATTTTATAGGCTTAAAGGTTTTTTCAATGAATTTGGTAAGGTAGTTTTTAACGATGTTCCTTTAAAAATAGTTCTATAAACATATAGTAATAAAAAGTATGTTTTTATCAAATTTAATTATAAACCAGTTAAATGGCTTTATTTATTATTAAGTTTTATAAGTTCACTCTTAAAATTTCTAATTTTTACTATTAAAAGTTTTAAATTTTATAATAATTGGTTATATATTGCCTAATTTTTTTAATTTTAATTTAGATTTTTTAAATTTTTTGCTTTTAGAAGGAAATAAATTTAAGAAAAATTTAAGACATTTTTTCATATAATTCTCAATTTTTATAATTATAGGAGTTTATTTTTTTATTTATAAGATTTTTAAAATAATATAAAATATTACGAATCTACCATTTAGAAAAATATATAATTTAAGTTTACTTTACCTTATTAGATTTTTTGATTTTAGAAAGAATTAAACTTAAGACAACTTTTAGCCCAATAAAATAATTATTTTAAACTTAATGTCTTTTGAATCTCGATGATTTTTACTTTTTTGAAAATTTTAGAAAATCTATTATTTAAAAAATTTGCACTTTAAATTTTGGATTGCTAATTTTATAAAATTTATATTTACGTTTTTATATTTATAAATTGATATAAATTTACTGTGAATTAATTTTTAATAACTTATTAATTACAAGTTTTTAGTTTATGACAATGAAGAAAACATTTACTAAATAACTTGTTTACTTGTATACTGGCTTCAGTTTTTAAGTCAAGTTAGTGCGAATTAGTTTTACTATTTTTTATTTAAATTTCTTTATTTTTACTTATGACAAATTTATTATTACTATTATAAAATAAGATTTCAAAATTTTATAGTTTACTTTTGATAACTTAGTGCGAATCGCTTAAGTTTTTTAAGAATATATTTGCTTATCGTTTAACCATTAGTGGAGGCCAAAAAGTTTTTTTATATATTCGAGGCTTTCCTTAAAATAATTGCGAACTATAGTTAGAAGTTCGATCACTCTTACTTTTATTAAATAAATAACCGGAATATCTCTTATAATTTTATTAATTAAAAAAAATTAGAGTTTTTAAATTTTTATAGAATAAATTAATGTAATAGTAAGACATTTAAATTTTTAAATTTGTAATTACTCGAGTTTTTGTTAAAAAATTTTTTTATTATAAAAATTGTTTCTTCAAAATCTTAGCAAAATTCGTTTTCATTGCTGCATCTATAACTTTATTATGATTATATATAAATTACTTTTTTACTGATAACTTTTGACTAATAAAAACAGAACGTTTTATAAATTTAAGTAACGTCATCATTGATACCAATGAAAAGTTAATTGATCTCTGCCAGGTATATATTTTCTCGTTTATTATTGTCTTATTATTACGAATAATAATTATTTAGTAATTTATATTGTGTTTTATTGGTCTGTAAATTTAATTTATAGGCGACAATTATAATCTTATTTCTTCGTGACTGGTTAATATTATTTGTTATTCTAGTCGTTCTTTTCTTAAATGTTTACGCATTTTTTTTGTTTTATATAAATGGACTTAAAATAGAGATGGATAATATTGTTAGTATTACTCTCTTTGGCTTATTATTATTTAATAAAAGCTTACCTTAAAAATAAAAAAAATAAAAGTAATAAAAATATAAATAAAATAGCTGATTAGCCAATTACTAGCTTTATAAAACGCACCAACAAAATTACAATAAGTTTTTTAATGAAAAATTTAGTATCCATGCATTAGTCTTCCGCATCTAATTAATACACACCTTTACAATGACTCTAATAACAGCGTACGTTAAAACTCTACACCAATGAGACAAGAGTTACAACACCCCTGTAAAAATGTAGAAATATGATTTAGCTTAACTATTCTTTTTGTGTTTCTGTATTGATAACTTTTTATTGTCTATTCATTTGAAAATTTTTACCGTTTTATTGGTGGAAAGAGTTTTATAAAAAATTCTTTTGCTATTTTTACATATAATAATTAGCTCTTTACTTGCCACCATCTTTTATATTAAACTTTTCAAACACTTTAAAACATGGTTTATAATAATATATACAAAAAAATACCTAAATCTCAAATTGTAATAAATTCAATAAAATGATTACTTCCTTACTTTAATTTTTTGGTCACTTTTTTGATCAATATTATATATTAGAAAAATTATATATTGTGGAGTATTCTTCTTATGTGTCTTTATTTGCTTCCTTTTATTATTTGAAAGCTTGTTTATTTTAAATGCGTATTATTTTACTTGTATAATATATATAACTTTCTTAAAAATAAATTTCTTATAAATCTGATCTATGAAATTATAATTTTGTTTATTGGTTTTTTTAATTCTTTAGTTAGAAATAGTATAAACTTTGTATTACTTTTTAAAAGATCTTTACAACTGATATTATCTACTTACATTATACCTTTAGAAACTTCCGCAGACAACCCGGAGTATTTCACGCATCCTTTCATTAAATTCTGAAAGTAATTACGTTCATTCTGGAAAAGAAAAAATCTTTGCTCACGTGGAAGACATGAATAACTAATTAAGCAGGAGAAAAATAAATTTGTAGTATATTTTTTCTTTAAAACCTCTAATATTTATGTATTTGTGGGCTGAGTTCTATACGAATTTTGTAAACTAAGTTTTTCGCTTAAGTACATTTAATTATTAAACAAATCTCAGAAGCAAAACGGTTAAATTTTAGGCTAGTCATAGTTTTTATCAGAATAAAGTATATATAAAAATTTGTTTTTCCAGTTGAGGTCATCTTTCAGAATTTAGCTAAACTAAGCGAGACAAGCACACAATCGTTTAGAGTACTAAACTAATTTTCTTCTTGAGAAGTAGTCTATTTAGTTGTAACAAAAATGGTTTGCTTTTTTAATTCATACCATCAACTAAAAAAAAGTTTATTAAGTAAGTGCTGTTATTTTAAAACTACGCTTGACTTTTATCCTACGTCACGGCTAACAGTATTTTAGAAATATAGGCTTTAATTTATTTGTCGTGAATCTACAGTTTATAAGCGTGACATAAATAATTTCTAAAAGTAGCATAAAACAGCTTCCACATAACCCATAATAACACGCCGATAATTTTACTTCCTGTCTAACGGCGAAGAAAGCGTGACTGTAGAAAGGGTGCTGAAGAAATATCAGTAAAGATTTTATGCTAAAATTAGCAATAAAAAATTAAACTATAATATCATTTTAAACGTAATATAAAAGTGTGCCTGACTCTTTTATCAATTTGCATTTTCTCGGTTCTTATATAAAGCGTATGTCTGCCAAACAAAACTTAAACTTAACTTCTTTTTCTTTATTGAACCTGTTCGAGCGTTCACGTTGTGTTACTCTATCTTTTTACCTTTATCTATTTTTGCTATACACCTAAAGCCCTTAAAAAAAGTAAAAAAGAGAATTTGCAGTATACAGAAAAACAATTATTTTGAACGAAAGGTATTGCTTTTTTAAGCGAAGACAAGCAGAATATTGTAACGGGTTTTAACAAAACATCTTTACCAAAAGTACAAAATTAAGTTCAACATTAAGCGTAGAAGACTTCTTTATTTTTTTTTTTGCCATAATAACTGTTATTATAAAAATGTTGTGTAGCTTAATTTTAAACTACTCCAACCACTATTATATGCATTCGTAATCTTTTTAATAACTTAAGTGAATATAGTACTTATGTTTTTAAAGTAATATTGTATCAGTCAGTTAATATTTCAATGCAAAGTTTGCATTCTTATTTCTCTTCTTCTTGCAAACTCGTACTGTATATGCTTTCTTTCAAATAGAAGCCTAAAATATAAGATTTACTGAATCACTTTGACTCTGTGAGGATAGTATACTAGTAAAAAAAAAATTATAAGCTAAGTTTCTAGTAGAATGCACATATTGAAACCTATAGCTTTCATGCTTTAGTACTTGTTCGACATAAGGAACGGCCCTCTATAGGCGTGTCGATATTGAGGACAACTTGGCTACCTACAAGAATTGTTACTATAATAATAGTCTTAACAATCAGTGCAGGCAACTAAATTTCGATTGCAATAGCGTTTGCTAAGGCATCATTAAGAATGCTGCAATTAGGACGTGAGTAATAAGTTCCTATCGATTAATGTTTTCCTGAAAGCCGGGCGCTAGTGATAGGAATAATAAGCTGAATATCTTTTTTTACGGAGTATATATTTATTTATCATAGTATATTAATAAGTCAATAGTACATGACCTCTTTTTTCATTGTTTCCCGTAAATAACGTTTAAGGCGCTATCCTCTGTTTAGTTAATATATACGCAAAAAAGGCCATTTGTATAACTTATGCAATAAAATCCAACCTTTCGTCTGATACCTTTTTTTGCACCGTAAACAAATGTATAACCTAGAGACACAAATATTCCTGAACTTTTTTAGTATGATTTTCAAGTTACTTCCCACAAATTCTTCGAAAGGCAGGAAACATTGTAACTAGCTTTCCAACGATTGAGTAAATTTATATTGTGCTTGACTTCTAAAATGGCTCTAGTGCATAAGGTGAGCTTAATATTTAAGGTTTCATTATTGCTCAAGCAGCACCTTTTTTTACCTTTTCTAAAACGCCCTATTTGTAAAAAAAATATATATTAATGTATGTGTTTCCTTTCTCTTGTCTATGACCAAACTTTAAACGAAATAAATAATTGCCAATTAAGGGATGCTTTTTTAAAAAAATAGGATCAAAGACAGTAAGAAAAGTTAACGTGTTAAAAAAATCAACTGGTGAGCCAAAAGTCATCTCCTAAAGTTGTATAGATACTCACTCTTTTAATAATTTATATAAGTCA